GGCTCGATCTTTGCCGAGACACCTCCCCACACACTCTTTCACTTCCATTTCTCGTTCGACCGGCTCTTAGTCACCCCTCCCCCTTTTGGTGACAAATATCTGCTGTAAAATCATAACACACTTACACTAAACACACTAGCCTCTTATCTCTCGAATGTCTCGTCTCAATCCAGTGCTAATGCATCTGTACCTAGCTGAAGAAGCGCGGTACCATGCGAGAGATGCCTATCTTTCTATAAGATGGTTTGGAATGTGTATGAGACCTGGATCTTACCTCTTGTATGGTTCGGAAAGGGGCTGTAATCTGTTGTATCATTTGCTTTGCTCTTTCGAAATAATGCTCTCAAGGTTTCTCCGTAAAGGTGTCACTCAAGGCTCGAATTCTAATAATTTTTAATAGAAACCAAATGACTACATTTTTTTCTTCAAAATTTTCGGCCACTGTCAAAATACTTCTGTAGACTTAATTTGTCTCTAGCCTATTACTTGAAAACTAAGAAGATAAATATCAAAAAAAAACTTTAAACTGAAAGTAGGGTCATTTGCCAAATGTTGTTTGAAAGATTTGCTCAAATACTGAAAATAACTTTGAAAAACTATTTCAATAGATTATGATTTTTTGAACACTTAGTATTGATTATATGCTTTCGTTTTATCGCTGTTTATGTTTATTGTAATTTCTCTATGTTTCGAAAATCATAAATTCCCGTAGAAACATAAAAACATGCAATCAGCTCGAATTTTTCTCACAATTACAACCGCTAGGTTGTAAAACCTTCGCCAACAATAGGGAAAGCGGGATTTTTTTGTTCTTTTAGTAACTCATGCGAAATTAAAAAATTGAATATATTTTAGAAGAAAACACCAAAAAATTGAATATATTTTAGAAGAAAACACCAACTATTTAGTTTGCTATAACTTTTGCCCCAAGCTAATAGCAGCTTGACAAAATAAATGCAGCGTTTTCAAACCTTGAAATACCAATTATTACTCTACCAAAATTTCACGAAAATTATGTTTGATTATAGTTATAAAATACTCTATACTTTTCCCCAAACCTAACATGAAATTTTCTGCAATCATGAGTTGTAAAAAATTCTCTAACCACTTGAGAACAAGCTTTAGTAACATATTTTATACTTTTTGTGAAGCAGTTAGTCGTCAAGTGAGAATAGTCTGTAAATAGTATCTAATCTATAAGGCTGCTTTTGCTCGCAAAAAGTAGGGCTAGTAAAGAAACCGGTACATTGAACAAGAATGGGAAGGGTTAATCAATTTTCACAACTTTGGAGGTGACAGGCTTGACAGAAAAAGGTTTCAGGGATTTTTGAGCAGCTACAATCGAATTTCTAATATATTTTTCAAGTTTGAGGAAAGCTATGGTGATGCCTGAGAGCATGTGTGGAAGAGTAAGGGGCGGAGCTCGCACGTGGGCGGAGTTTTCCACACGCAAATCTAACGGGATCGAAAAATGCCTACTTCGCCTATTCTACACCCGCGACAATCAATCTGGCAATTATGCACATTTTCGATTTTTCTTGAAATATTCATAATTTAGATTTTTTGTAATTGACGTGATTCATATGACAGATACAATATTTTATATATTCTGAAATTCTAAGATCAGTCAAACTAGTTACCGAGAAAAGTAGGTCAGATTTTTGTTTGAAAATACTATCAGCGTTCGAAATTTTTCCTTTCTCCTTCTTTTTCTTCATCTTTTATACAATATATTTTGTAATAAGTACTCTTCAAAATTCTGGGTGTCTTGGAAATTTGAAAATAGCAAACTATCGTAATGTTAACTGTTCAAAAGTGCATCTGTTGAGCCAAAACTTCCTCATTCAAAATGAAACAACACATTTGTTTCTTTAACAACGGACTTTCCATACCGTTTGCCTGACACCCCCCCCCCCCGCAAGCCTTCCTTTTATCCCTCCCAAAGTGCGAAAAATCTCCGCGTTCGGAGCCCTGGAAGAGCTCTGAAACATGGCGGCATTATGCAATAGCCAGTGCATGAGCGTTGCATCAAGTGTTGTCTAAACACTCGGATCGCGCCAAAACCCCTTGACCATCGGGTGGCGACAGGGTCCACCTCGTCTCGACACCCTCTTCTACACTATGGAACTCTTAGCACGCACATATACCAAACACATATTCAACCCATTACTCGGATTCAACCAAGTAGGATTCGGAAATTTGCAAGTACCCTGCAAATTTTTTTTATTTTGGAGCTGTAAAACGAAATTCCCAACTCTCTCATCTGCTTCATCGTCAGCATTTACACTTAAACAACCATTTTCTACCTCTAAAGCTACAATATCACCATAAATGTTAATGTTCAAAACAGTAAGCTTACTTCACACTTATGCACATTTTTGATCTTTGACTATATCATCATCTATTTTCTAGAGATCTCCAGGAACCACATTCAGTACGTCCTGAACTCATCTCTTTAAGGGTTCTGTTTCTTCCCAATATGAACTTGTGACACTTTGCTAAACTAGACATTCGCTTCATTTACATCTAATTCTATCGAGATACTTATTTGACTTAAACTGATTTTGCAAGAATCTGAATTTCAAATTTTTCTTGTTCGATGAGACGATACATGTTCTTTTACACAGCCTAAATTGACCAAACCTTTACTGTTAAGGCCCATAAAAATTGTTATTTTCGGAAGATTCAATTGAGCTCTCTCTGTCCTTCAACGCCCAGAAATAATAGAAAATGTGAAATGGATGCCGAAAGTGTGAAGATTTTGGAGGCTATTCCCAAATCAATAATATCCCTTTTCTTTGTTTTTTTTGTCTATATATTCTCTGCCCTCTCTTTCATAAATGAGTGAAGAGTCTCAAAAAAAGTATGATGCAAGGGTTTTTTTTTCTGTTGAGCTCATTCTGTCAAGGACATCTAAGGAAAAGTGTTTATTATAATAGATCATTTAACTCGCTATGAACATTGGTTTGACGTTGTCAAAGTTATATAAAAAAGTACCCTGAAACTGTCACAGTTGATACGGTAATACAATAATCGGAAGGAAAGTTTGCACTGTTAGCACGATAGCTGCAAATCCCATAATCCGAGCATTTTTGCGCGGGATTTAACACCCTCGATTTTGCAATGAAACAGCTCTCTTTTGCACTTTGATACTACTACATCATTACTAAACACGCTGTCATATCTCCCGGGATTGTTTTTCTCCACATACCAATCTGTCATGCCCAGCTCTGAGCGTAATCCTTTTTTACGGGCGGCGACGAGTACAACTCGCTACCATGTGCTCGGGTCATCATTATTGTTGTCTACTCGGTTCCGCACTATCAACTCAACTATTTGTTCGGTTGTCTTTGATACTTTGGTGCTAGGTAAGATTGTTTACATAGAGCTCATTATTGCATGGTAAAGGGGGAGCAATGTTCGGAACTCACTGACCGAGGTCACGAGCAGTTGCGCGAAATATTGCCAAGACATAAGAGTGTTTATGGCATTCCATATCTTGGATTGTTAAGGAAAGAGGAAAGTAGTGGGGTGGGGAGGAGGTACAGAAATAGGAAAAAGAAAATGATCTAGTGATCTAAAATAAAGGTTTCTTATTGAAAATTAGAATGAAGGAGATCCACTTGGGCTATTTTGAGACTTTTGGATTACTGCTTTGAAAATCAGTACCTTAAAAATATAGGTGAGAACTTCCAATCCTGTGTAAGAAATTTATTTAAACGGGATCCTTTTTAAGAATCTGGGGTTTTTGCTCTCGCTAATTTCTCTCTCTCTAATTTCCTTTAGGATGAGGGAGAAGAAAAACTTTACTATATCATATTTAGAAAAAATCAGCACAGCTTGGAGAAATTCAGGTTTCCATCAGTTTCTAAATTTAACAATCATTATGCATAGAGAGGAGGGGGCGAGGAAGCAGGGAAGGGTGGGAAGTTCTCTGTTTCTAGAAGAAAATCCATTATTTTGAGCTAAACGGCTTTTTGAGGCTTTCAGCGCGTATTTTTTTTTGTTCTCGAAAGATTTGACGAAACTTTCAAAGACTTCCTAAAGGACTTGAAAAAAAGGATTTTCATTAGAACTTTCTGAAGGAATCCTTTTTTGGCTCAATGGATAATGTTTTTTCTCTTTGGAGGAGGACTTGGCTGACACTAAGAAATATCCAGGCATCTTGAAATAGGCATCTTTGATCAATTAGAGTTTCGACAAGAGTTCCCATCCATCTACATAATCTGGATTATCTAACGTTTTGGCGGGAAACACGAATTTTTGAAGAGCTTGTAAAAACTCTCTGGTAATCACAATTTTGTAAGAGAATCTGGATCCTAGATAGTTTTTTCACAAAGACTTGTTATTGCTTTGACTTATTTCTTCGTCATCCACTTCCTCTTGTAAAAGTAGGTAGGAGGACTTTATGGGATTGTTTAGTCAGAAAATCAACAAGTTGTGATAATTATGGTTGTGCATTAACTTTTATGGTTGTTCTTATATTACTCATTATGCTTAGTCAACCCTTATCAGGCAATAGCAAAATGTACCAGAACTCTTATCAAAACCTACCGTAAACTACAGGAATTTCCGTCAGAAACATCACGTTCCTCAGAATTTTTCAAGGATTTTGCATTTTATTCTTTTACCAGCTTCCAGCCCTATAAGGCATCGTAATTTACAGTTCTCGATGTCCTTATCGTCGCCTCGTATTTGCCTGTCGCACGACAAGTGATAGAGCCGTTGATGGTTAAGTGTTTAATTGAGTTGTTATGCAAATTTCGCGGCCGGGGTGAAAGCGACGAGCCAAGGCTGAGGGCCGTGGTCCGGTGACCGCGAAGTACTCTTTCCCCCCTCCTTTCTTTAGAATTTGCATTCTCTTATCAGTGACCGTAAATCCATCAGCATTCTTGTCACCAAGCCATTTCGTAACTTTTCGAGCTCGTGTCAAGATAAGCGCTACACCTCCCACGAACACACTTCTTTCACTTCGTTTTTTTTCAGGGCACAGAGTGACGATGCGTTTGATTCTGTGCCTTTATCTCGTCACCTGGGTAAGCGAAGCCAAGGTCATCGACGATCTTCCACATTGCTCCAGAAGTACTGTGATGGAAGGAGAGGTGAGTGACATCGGGTCAAAGGGTTTAATCTCCTTTTTTACCCCCGTCATAGCCGAGTGACACGCGTGTAATGAATTTTTATAGATTCGTGAGTACGATAACATGGGCAGGCCTAAGATCTATAGTTCTGTACAATTATCGATGGCTTTGCATGAGTTGTCATGCATGACAATGAAGGTAGCCCAATTTTCCTTGATAAATCAAAATTTCGAAAATTAGCAACGAAAAAAAACAGTGCAAAGAAAACAGCCATAGCAGTGAAACAAATCTCCAAACGAATACGACTATAGGTCAAAATTAGCGGTCCCACAAGTTTGATCTTCAAAAAGAAAGCTTTCAAGTAGACGTGTGTTCAAGTGTCAAGTGAAAAAATTTGCTGCAACATGTAAAAATTTCAATTTAAATTACTGCATTTTTAGACATGAAGATTAACAAAGCTTTTTTAGTTATACTGAAGTTCATGGATCACTCAATACAAAAGTTTAATGCTCCATTTTTGATAGTTGTCCTACGAGCCTTCTGTTTTTCCGCAAGAATTTTGTTGTCTACCTCTAAAAATTTACCAACAATTTATTTGCTTTTTTTTACTGAATATTCCTCTTTTTCTTTTTTAACTTATAAAATATTATAGTTGTCTATACCTTATTTCGTAAGTTCAGTCATATCTTTTAGATGAATGGCAGCGATTCCTCAATATTGCACACTTTGGAATTTTTACGGTTAGAACAACATCACCCCGTTTCAGGTAATCAAATCTCGCTTAGTTACCGTATGACTACAGTACAATTACAGGAATCTACCAGTTTGGGATTCCGAAAATCACATCGGCATGCATTTGTGACTGTGCCGGAGGTGATGCGCCGTGCAAAATTGAGCAGTATAATTACAAGTAAGTACAAAAATCACAGAAACCTTCGTCAAATTTGTGAAAATTTCAAGACGTTAGATAAACGAAAAATTGAGAATGTCAAGTCTTGGCATTTTTTGCCTACAAAGAGATGTCAAAAACCATTTAAGCATGTCCTAGTCCAGAAAAGTTCCTTCCATGCTGGTTCAAAAATTAGCACAAAAGGTAACAGGAAAACTTCTAAATTTCTCCAAATTCGTATCTACTTCTTTTCTTGGTTTTAGGATTTTGAAAGATTCTTTTAAACATACAATCATTGTTTGTACTCCACAGAGCAAAAATCTACTATTTGCTAGTGATTGTGTTTTTTCTTATTTATACTTCCAAACTTATCCCTTTTCAAGAAACTGCTCATCTGGTGCACTTTGCTACCGCACCTATCACCCTGTCCAAACCAATGTCGGATGCATAGGAGAACAGAAAAGTGAAACATGTTGTGAACTACGTATTGAACCCTACAAAGACTGGATTTTCACTGCGATCAAGATCGGTCAACCAGCTACAATACTCGTTTTTCGGTAAGCTTAAAGAGAATGAAGTTGCCACATTTGTTTTGAACCTTTTTCTAATGTTATTTGCATTCACAGGTATAGCATCTACGATCGCTTTAACAAACGTTGGCGTAAAGCTTCTGAGGAAGTCGTCGAGGTGCCCTTGAATAGAGGGCTTTCAAAATTCGACTTCAATGGAAGGAATAAAATTGAAATGGTTGTGACAGGCAGCCGACCAAACAGAGAGCTTCAGCCAGGGATGTACTTCGTCAGAGAAGGTAATCTCCCTCTTCCTTGTTTTTTATTTGGGGGGGAGGAGGAAAGCTGCCGAAAAATCTTCAAGGTTGTGGCTCAGCATTTAAGCCCATAAATTCTTCCTGGAAAGAATTCCTGCTCCTTTGAAGTAGATTTGAATAGAATCCGAGGATAATCACCTGACTCAGAAAATGCAATCATTCAAACTCAAAGAAAAACCATGGGATTTTGTGACTCACTGTTTTCCTCCACAGAGTATCCAATTTATAATTTTCATACTTCAGGGACCCATGAGATTCGAGGCTATGTGCCTATCAATGAAGTTGGAGAAAGTAACTTGGAGAAATTAGGATGGATGAGATTCTCTGAAGGACGATGGGATATTAGGAATGGAAATGTGAAGATCAAGCAAGCGCATGTGAGTTTTGTGAGGAACTGAGATCAAAAAAATTCTGGAAGCTTGCAAAATTTCATTTTTGATCATTAAATGGCTATCGTGGTCCTTCAAAAGGTTTTCCCCTCCATTTTTTACCCTATCTTGGAATGTTGCAAGTAACTCCATTTAGGAAAAAAACTGAAATCATTGATTTTTTTGTCCACCCCAGAGCTTCAAAAGCTCTTGATAAACCACGCAAGACTAATTTGAGCTGCATTAGGTCACTTTACTCAGTATTGAGTGGACATTTACTGGTTTTTCCCATAGCTACAAGAGCAAGGGGGTGCAGAACCAAAGCTATAAAATTACTTAGATATCCAAAAATAGCTGTTTTATGGCTGTACAATCGTGAAAAAAAGATCAGTTTGTCTCTGCCAGGGGGGTCATACATGGTGCAACGACTCTAGAAGATTCGCAGACCATACAATCCCAATTCATTGTGATTTTTATTTTCTCAAAAGACTAGGTAATTATGCGAGTAGAATGATTTGGGGCAACAGACAACGCCTAGCTTTAACAATAAGAAGCGATCGAGTCATTCTAGAATTTATGTGTGCGATTGCGGAGCTATTCACATACCACGTCTGTTTTGAATATCATTAGCTATTTCGCATACGTTTGTGAAAGCCTTCATTCAGTGTTATGTTTTCGTGAAAAATTCGAATCATGGAAGGAGACCGAAAAGCGGTTTCCCAATTTTTTGCAATAGTCGAGGAAAATCTTGCCGCATGATGCAGAGATAGTGTGCAACTACACATATCAGGCTTCAATATGATTGAAATCTACAGAATTCTTCGGTAAACTTCACGCATATTTTAAGTCCCGAATTCAATATCCCGAATAAGACTTTTTTCTGATTTGCAGTGAAATTCGCTTCCCCAGAAATTTCACGATTAAGCTGATTCATGGAGTAAATTTTATTGTTTTACTTTTGTGGCTTTAGTGCAACGAATTCAAATTCGAATAAATAACTAGATATGGGTTATAATTTCAGCACGTGAATGTAGCTGATTGTAAGCAACAAGATTATACATCTACCATAAATGGAGAACAAATGGTACTCGTCTCTGGAGAAGACGTCGTGGAGAGCTTTGACTTGGGTAGGATAGCAAAATTTTTCTCTTAGATTTCTACATAGGTTTTTTTATCCTCTGTAGGTAGAGCACTAACAAGTGATCCTTGGATCGAAACGGCTGTGTATCAAGGTCGAGACGTACGAGTAGAGCATGCTGAGGGGACCAGCATTACGGTAAGCAGACGTTTGATCTACCACTTAAAAAATGCAGTGGTGCAAATTTTTCAGGTTTACATGACCTCGGAGACTCGACCACACATGCTGCGTCACATTTCTCAAATGGAATCTTTCGATGGAATCATACAAGTTGATCGCGACAGTAATCGCTATCTAAACATCTCTTTTCTCGTAAGTTCTTCTCGAGACCGTCAACTTCTTCGAATAGGGGAAAAATGTGTTTATTTCAGGGAACGAAAGGTACATTGATTGGAAATATTTTTTCTTCAGAGAAGAAAGATCAGATCGATATGGCTTTTTCTGTGCAGGGTATGATACTGTTTTCGACCTATTTCTGCATAAATCAAATTTTATTTTAGTGGAAGGTTCGAAACTTCGCGACTATAGATCTATCATTTCTATACCTTCATCAGTAAATAGCAGTAGATACGTGTGTTTCCATCCATCAGGAGATCTGGAAGGAGAGTTGTGTAAATGGTTCAGGTAAGTAAATTTTAAACGATTGTCTTTTGGACACTGGGAAAAATTAAACATTCCAAAATTTTAGGTATGAAGCACAACGACTCAACAGCTATCGCGTTGCTCACAGATGGCAAAGCGGCAAAGGCGAGTGTGCTGGGTAAGTTCGACATTCATTCTCAAAGAATAGGTCCAAAGAAAAAAAAGGGGGAGGCGGGGGAAGGGGGCGAAAATATTTTTTGAGAATTACGCGAGTTCATTTTCAATTTGTAAGTAATCGGAATATCCCTTATTTTTTTGAAACAAATTAGTTTCATAAGAATTTAGGAGCACATTCTTGAACAGTTCGCAGAATCTCAAGCTTGTGGCAAATTTGAAAAACTTCTTATAAATTCTGTTACTTCATCAATAATTATTGGCCCTCCCCTAAAAAAATCCTAAAACCGCTACCAGGTCCACCGTGTTCTAACTAAAGTGCTATCGTAAAATCTTAGAACTCTAGTCATATTAAAAAATTCGTAGGGTTCTTTGAAGATTCTAAACTTGCAAGCTTTTGGTGAGCTTGAAAGATCTCACCGACTTTATCTGAAGTTTTTTATCCTCCCCCCCCCCACAAAAGTTTTTCACTGCCTCACCGTTTGTTTGACTTTTTCCTTTTCCAGATGCAACGAGAGAGGGGTCGAGTCATTTTTGACGTCGTTGGACCCCCGACAATGGCTCAATGGCATCTCTTCCCCCGTCGAATTTGCCACGATGGCCGTCGAAATTCTCATCTTCGCCTGTCTTCTCTTCGTTTTCATTGTGATCTGTACCAAATGTTTCATTCCTTTACTCTGTTGTTCAATTACCGTAGCCAGAACTCCTAAGAAAAAATAGGAAAAGGAATTTTTTGAATACTGGTGATATTTCTTAGGCATTTATTGTTTCTCGAGCCCAGCTTTTCCTTGCCAAATCCTCATCGATTACCGGTATAAATTGTACGTATTATTTTAGAATAATTCTAGCCAAATGAACTGCTTGGCAGTGCCTTTGACCCAGCCTTTCGCCCATGTGTACTTACATTTATTTGTTGCATCTTTCAAGCCAAACTTTCACTGCGAAACCCCCGTCAGGAGATGATCTTTGCCAAAAAAATTCAATTGTATGTGATATATATGTTGATGATTATATCATTGCCTTTGTACAGTGCTTTTTTCTTTTTTTTAACGATCCGGTTAACTTTATTGCTGTCACATGTATAATTAATAATGAATATATGACAATAACTACTCTCAATACTTTAAGAAACAGAATCACGACGAATGAAGAAACAACTGTTAGGGTAATCTAAAGCACAGAATTTTCAATTCTTTTTCAAAATTCACAAACACCAAACAAGTGATTTCCGGGTGCATTCTTGTCGCTGGAATAGAAAAGATCGTGAAAGTGACGGGACCACATTTCTTTGCTGACACGTGGAACATACTTTCCGTTTGCATCCTGAAAAGAATTAGTTGGAAATAAGAATAATGATGTTGAGATAATTTCTCTGAAGACCATTTACGTTTGTCTTTCAAATTTTGTTATTTACATTTTTTTTGAAATCATTTCAACTTTAGTATAATCTATATTTAAAGTGGAAGTATGTGGTGTTTTACAAATTTTTCAAAGTAGGGAAGTAGAAGAAATGAGGAGAGTTTTTATGCAAATCTTTTGAATGTTGAAAAGATGGCTTCATCTTGTTAACACCGCGTAAAACGATTCATCGTTTGCTTTTCATTACTGGGGTTATCATAAACATAATGAGGAATTTTTATTCTCGGACCAAATTTTCCTTCCAAAATCAAATATGAAATTTCTAAAGTTCTAAAAACGTTTACACTAAGTAGATTGATGTGGCTTCTCTGAGTGCGACACTCAGAGAAGCCACATCATACTCTCCGCGATGTAGAGCCTCGACTGGTGCCGGGAGCGCTGTATGGCGCGTTACCAGTCGCGCCTTTTGTAGTCGCTGCAGGACCACTCCGGCTGGGAACGCAGGCAAGTAGCGGCGTATATGAAACAGCGCGAGAGAAGTTTTCGTTTCTGTTGAATGTTTTTGTTATCACACCTGGTACCGTTTTCAAAGCTCTCGCAGGAGAGGATCTCATGTTGAGCGGTCGACCTTTTGGAGGTTTTTGTATTGGACGCGCGAAAGCGCAGAAAGGCTCTCTGTATTAAAGACGAACAACGATGCGGAAATGGAGCTGGGATTGCGTCGTTCCATTTGGACCAGGGCTTCTAGCGACAGACCCTCTCGGAGGAAGCCAGTTTCTTCTACGTTGATTGAGCCTGTAATGCATCGGCAGCAGGCTCTTCACGTGTTATTATCTTAGTCACTCAGCCTATTTTAAAAGTTTCATAGTTCTAGTTTTGTTGTGCATTTTTATATCTTGTTGTTTAATAAGTTTATTTAAGCTGGTCGCGCGTGATTTATGAGTATTTAGTGCTGGTGGCCGCGGGTGGACGCGGTGAAGGTGGTTGTGAGTAACATCCAAGGGTTCGGGGTTTGCTTTTGCTGTGTAGGGCAATCGAGCGCAGCTAAGGTATGCTGAGTCCAGGCCGCATTAAGTTCACTCTGAGTGTGAAATTGCCCTTTTTTGTAATCCCTCGTCAGAAAGTCGTGCGGTGTACCGCAATAGCTACATTAAATGTTACTCATAATCATGAATACCTCACTCGAAAAGCTTCAACCTAAAGCTAGAAGAAGTTTTCGATCTTTTCGGATTTTTTAAAATGGCAGTCAAATCACAATGGCGCTATGTGCTGAAGGCTCCTAAAGTAATCCTACGGCAATGAAGACCGGTTGGTGATTTATTGTTATACCATAATTATGTACAAGTGCCACTTCTACAATGGTGCCTGAAAGTCCGTGATAGACATTGTGACAAGAGGGATAATCTCTCCATCTCTGCACTATGCATGTGCTTTCTGATCATTACCTAGACCTTAAATAGGTCAGGAAGCCCCGCCTTCCATGCGCCAAGCCAGTTGAATCAAAGGGTACACCCTCTTGGACACCCAATATAATTTTACTTTGCAGTACTCTTTCTGCAAGTCACTTAACACCAATTCTAGATCTTCTTTCGCGACGTAGCATGGAAGGACCACACTGCATTTAATTTTTAAAGTTTTTGGAAGCAGTTTATATCCAGATGACCAAAAAATACCTCTTGTAGGCATACTTTATCTGTAGTAATCTCTCAGAAAAATAGAGGAAGGCGATAAAATTTACTGTAGTTTTCGGCCACTTCATGTGGATATCCTTAACAATTTGACAAATTGGTTCTATTCTGAACAGGGTGAAGAAGCGAAAACACAAAAAAAGAGATTTACTTGATCATCTCTGATCTTCCACTTTTTCTTAAGATGGTCTGCTTCCTATTCTGGCCGCCTTTTTAACTTGTACTCTTTTTAAATAAGATTTCGAGCCAATGCCTTTTCTTATGTGATCAAAATAGAGTATCTAGTGCAAAATCACTTTTTTCTTTCAATCGAAGACGTAGTACCAAGAAAGATTTCTTGCTATACAAAAAATTACAATCTCAATCACAAGGCCCGTACCAAGTGATTTCCCCCCAAAGAGAACCATTTCCTTTTGATATTTTGATGGTGTGACTTGAGCTGAGGCATATGAAGAATTGGAATATTAGCCATATGGCTAATACACTAGCTTTTTCCACTAAAAGCTCTCGGAGTGTCATATTTCAAAAGCACTGGCAGATATTCTCAATTTTCAGCATCCGACCTTAATATCTTCTTGTTAAAAAACATTCTTTTCTGATTTTTACAAAAAGCAAGTGGAGATTTTGCTAAAATATGCATAGGATGCGTGGAAACGCACCAGTGCAAATTTCTGAAAAGCTTCTTTAGCCTCCGGACGTCTCACTCCATACACATTCATGCCGTCGATATACTCTTCTATATCCAGTGCGCCATCGCCTGAAAAACAATAGCTCGTGCGACAGCTTGAAATTCAGGAACCTTACATATTGTAGTGATCCAGATCCGAAAGCAAAAATTGCAGAAAAAGGCTTCCGAAAAGATTTTTCTGGTGCACCAGTAAAAATTTGCATAGATATTTGATTGTTCGTCTATGAGGAAATTATATGTAAACTGAAAGGCTTTCAATATAAAACGATCATGAAAACAAATTGGAAACTTCATTGGTGTAAATGACTTCAAAAAATTTCGGACAATGTTTACGAATAGGATAGGAAATTCGAATTACAACAAATATAGTACGATAGTAAAATAAGAAATTTATATCAGTCGCGCGGTTGTTTCTTTGATGCCAATAAGTACTCCCCCATCGAGCCGTTTGTTCTCAGATTTTGGAAAAAATATCAATTATGTTAAAAAACGCAACTGCTGGCAACTTCGGAAAACATGCTTGATGATTGAACACAAAGTAAAAAAGCAGACATTTTTTAAACTTTTTTTCGCAGACTGTTCTACATAAAAATTTGCAGATCAATGTTTCTATATTTTTTAATGATTAATTCTTTCAAATATCGTTTTGGTCCTCCTTAGAACTAACATATTACAAGCCACTCAAGAGGTGAACATCCGAGCGTTCCCCATGCTATGAAACCATTGCTGGAGGTTTTTTCAAAAAATATAGGATTCGTCATCCCCACAGAATTTGGGACTTCATAGAAGCTTCTCATCTCCCTCTCCTTTTGTTTCCATCTTGGATGCAAGGGAAATGTCACTCACTCAAACAAAAATACAGCTACTGGACTTTGCAATGCTGACAGCAAAACTCAAAGTTCCACTGATTTCGTTGAACTTTTCTGGATGTTCAAAAAGCAATAGAACAGTTTGCTCAAAATTATAATGAGAAGTACGGTTTAAATCTTGGTGGAATATTTCTTTGGTGTGCTCCTTTCTTGATTGTTGTGTAGCTTTGGTACCACAAACTATGAAATGTATGTAAATTACAGTATGGCACCTTTTCTTAGCGCTACAGACCAACGTGAGTTTTATTACAGTACCTCACCTAACTACCAGAAGCTGTGCAAAAAAAGTCATACCTCATTATTTATGATCTGCCAAATGGGTAACAATTTGCCAGCCGACCCTCCTTTGAAAGATTTGATAGTAAGGAATCCGAATGTGCTGTGCACTCGATGGAACCTTGATATCCATTTTTGGGGGGATATATGTCGTGAGGCCGATTTTGGCACTTTTTGTGAGACCATATTGAGAGTAGGGTCCAGGGGGTGGAGGAACGAATACTTCAATTAGGCACCGCCCCCGCGGACCACTGGTCCCAACACGATGCATAACAGTAGGACGAAAGGGCCAGCAGCCCGCGAAGGCGATGCCTAGTTGAGGCGTTCGTTCCTCTACAAGGGTCCAGGCAAAAGTAGGCCCCAAGAGAGGAGCAACTGCGTTTGTCCGGTCCTCCAATGTTGTCTTTGAACGGAGATAGTAAACTTGGAACCCACGAAAGCGCTATCAAGCCACGCCCAACCTATCAAGCTCCGCCCACCCTGGTACTTCAAATCGCTTGTGTCTTCTAGATGGGGGTTCACAGAATCGGTTTTTCGGGGTTGCATGTTTTAAGCTTCAAAACTTCAATCAAAGCCACGGAATGGCTCCAGAGTGGCAAAAACATGGAAGGCGAAATTTTGGTTGGACCTGCCTTTAAAATACCTTGAAAGCGAGATTTTGTGGCCTGTTGGATGATTCATAGGATTCATATCAGAAAGCTCTTCCCTTATGAAATCTAGAAGAAGAAGATTTGTTTCAGGTCTGAGAAATGCAAACTGAGAACCCTGGAAAAGGCGCAGGTTTTTCATGTATTACATTTTTTTCTCATTGTTAGTGAAAGCCATAGAGGTCCGTCGTCTTTGCCTAATCCAAGGAATCCAAATGAAGTGTGACACCAACAAATTCCCTTTTCCTTACTAAAAATATATGAGACCACAGACTTCCGCCTTCTGACAAACGAAAATTTTGTATAGAATCCTATAGAATCCCGAAATGTCTATGGCTTTGGTAAAAGAAATTGTTCTCTAATTTTCACAATTGCGTAATGGGTTTTGAGGAAGTTCGTCCGCAACTCTCATCAGATCCCCTTCTGGTAAATCAAGTAACATGGACTGAAAGAGCAGGTTTTTCTCTCCCTAATAGACCAAAGGGAAAATTCGTGGAGTCAAGACTGGGTTTGCTGGAAGGGCTACATTGTTTCTTCAAATGCGGTGCACATAAAGTTCAGCGGGCTGCAAAAAATCCATTTTTGGTCTACTTCATGCCATATTCCAACGATAACCATCACTTCCGTATTCTTTTGTACCATAGTGATCACTTCTGACTTCGGTTCTCAGTTAGATTTGATCTAATCTAGAGGTTAATTGACCGCAGTCGCTACGACTAAGCAAATCGCAGTTTTTCAAGGTTTCAAAAAAAGCATCGGAAGCAATTTGAGGCTGTAGTACTTTCTTGATTCAAAGCAAACACCATGGACGCTGTTTGGAAATTTTTTCTAGCGGAACCTAACGCCAGTTCACAGCGAAAAGAAAATATTGCAGTGGTGTGAAATCGTTTTTTGCACAGTTTAGCAAATAATGTTTAGCCTTTCAACTCGCCTAATCCAAACCCCACTAACTCTTCTCCTGGTCTATCTGACAATGAGCAAAAAGTCTGCTCCTCTAAATCCACGCACTTGATTCATAAAAAGAAGATCTGGTGAGAGCCTGGGACAACATTCGTCAAGAAAATTACTCGCAATGAGAAGAATTTTTGGAAGATACTTGGTAAAGAAAAAATTTTACCGAAAGCAGAAACGGCTATCTTGAAAGTAATCTAGAGGATCTTCTACAGAATATTCTAGTCTATCAGATAAAAACAAAATTTCTTGATTTCACTCATTCTTGCAAAGTTTCGGATTTTCTTTTCTGTGTTACAATTCATGTGGAGCACCACCCTTTGAGTTACAGACGAAAAACCTCGCCATATTACTTTTTACCTCAGTTTTTAAATTGCTTAGGTAGTGACTAGCAAATTCATTTTTTAGAGCATCTCGCATTTTATCTGCTCCTTCCTAGCGTGCAAATAACTACGTTCAACAGATGACTGACTCCCTGTTTTATTTTTTGAGCCTCAGAGCTGCCCATGTCCAGCGCTGCATGAATGCGCACTTCGATGGCAAAAACTCGAAAATTGTTAGAATCCTTTGTCTGTCATCGCAGAATGAGTCATTAGCTTAAACTATGCACGCTTTCCAAAAGTTCTTTTTTTCTTCTTTTTGAGCGCCGTTTTTCTGCCCGGAAGAGGTAAAACAAAAGGGGGATGTGAAGTAAATGATGTTATGTACATGGCAGGCCTCCGGAAAATTGCATTATTCACAAACTTCCACCATAGTTATGAGCTGGCTTCTGGCAAAAAACTTTCTGAAGAGGAGTTTTTTGGTCGTCTGAAGCTGACAAGAAAGCAAGCCTAGCCATTGCTAATGTATTTGCTATTTCCTCGAAAAAAGAAGGAGAATGTACGAGATAAAACAAAAGAGAAAAAAGAGAAAAAAGTACTTTTTTAAACCAAGTCGCACACGAATTAGCTGGACAACTTAAAAACGCGATAATTTAGAGCGAAATTTGTAGACATTGAAAAAATGTCTTCCTTAATTCCTGCCCCAACTAGTCATAAATTTTCCAGAAAGCCTAGTTGAGTGTCTCACCATTTAAGGTACAGAATTACCAATTGCTTGAAATCATAACTCTAACCCAATTTCAATCGTTACTTCTTCTCTGATTATAAACCAGTGTTGCTGAAAGTGAGGTAAAAAATTGTCAAAGAAGTGGAAACAGCTTATTGTTTAGCTCCAGGTTACTGTAGTGTAAGATATCACAAACCTTGGAGAATAGTTATCTTAGAAAGACTGGGACTGATTGGATCAAACCTCTAAATTTTCTGTATTTTTGACGAAATTTCGGGGAAATGAGGTTTGTCGTTTACATAAACTAGGCATATTCTTAGAAAAAAAAACCAGGATTTATTCCCTAGCTTAGTTTTTTTCAAAGTAAATCCTTTATGCAAAGCTTCTCTGCAAAATTTCTGAACGTCATTTTCTCATACGTAAAACCCTTACTAGAAAAACTTCCCCTCTCAAAGCTAATACGCTCTAATAAAAGCTTGACATTTTTTATGCTAAGATATATTTGCAATGAGACTCCAAAGCTAAAATTTACTTTCTTTTTTTTCAAAATTGTAAAAAGAGAAGTTTATAAAAAAGCTTTCGTGTGGTATTAGCGGCATTAAATTTCAGGATGAAATTGAGCATGTTCATAAAGAGAGCTCTTTTTTCAGGTGAGGTCACATTTCTTCTTTTTTTTGTGAAAAAAATTAATATTGACCATTAAGCACTCAATTCTGAAAATAGCACCTGAAGTCCGTAATTACGGTAACTCACAAGAAACATCGAAAAGTTGAAACATAAATTTCTCGTAGTCGGTGAACCATTTCATCTCATTATTCTTCATAGATAATTTCAAAAATTTGATCCATTCGTCGATCGATACCAATTGATCCTGCAAAATGCGAGTATTGGGATTTTTTTAAAAGTTTTCATGATAATTACCTTGTCTGAGTCGGCAGTTTTACAAAGATTTTCCCAGAGAGTAGCTAAGGTTTTATTAGCGAATTCCGTTTGCACAGACTCTGCACCGTAGATATCCTTTACCTTCTAAAAACATATGCTAGCATCTAATAAAAATCAAGGTAACTGTAATTTGAAAAGGACATTTATGCTGCGTTCAAGCGAATATTTCGTAATTTCATATGTGAGATGTATGTCTTTCATATAGTGAAGCCTTCAAATTTCTGAAAACGAAAAAAAATCCATGATTTTGATATAGGAAGGTTTTTTTCAAATAAAATCGCTCATCAGACTGCAGTATAAAATGTCTAGATGGTGTACTTGCTTGTATAAAAGATTTAGCACCATTGTAACAACTTTTATCAAACCATCTCATGTTTCTTATGTACATCTGACAAGTTCTGATAGAAAATAAGGCTGAAGCCAAAAATTAAAGCTGTTTTGAAGCTAAACAGCCTTGAAAAATGTAGTCATGCTTCATCTAGGGCTCAGCTAGCACCAGGAAAATTCTAAAACGAAGTCGCCTTTGATCTTGAAAATTTCGTGCGAAATAACCTTTGACCCTGAACCCTAACCGTAAAAAACCCTAGAAAAACGAACCGTCGGCTAAAGAAACGTCGCAATTTTTGTCTTTTCGGCTACAAAAACGATATCCAGCTTGACCCGGTGCCAGCCGTGTCGAGCCCTGGCTTCCCCCTACACCAAGCTCAAAATTGATGCCAGGTTCTAATTTACTTCAAATTAGCGCAGACAATCAAGTTAGAGAGTAACTTTGGATGATAAAAGGACTCACCCTTACTACCAAGTAAAAATCTCCCCAGTCGACCTGATGCGAGGCATTGCGATCTAAAAATCAAATTGTAAAATTGAGAATCATTGGTGGGCTTCGCTATTTTGAAAAGTCTTCCAAGAAGCCAGAAAGAACTTCCGCGAACTTTGAAAAGGACAATTTTTCAATAGAAGAGATCAAGGGTAAGCTACATATGCATATACCTCTAATTCAATTGAACTGGCGGCTGAGAGGCGGGGCTTCGTACCTAATTAAAGCCAGGGACGATCAGAGAGCACGCTCGCGAGAGATATGGAGACTGCGGGCGCGAGCGATCGCCTTTTTGCCGCCAATTTGGTTGAATCAGAGGGTAAATACAATACTTATGAGATAATACGCTGCTAAAAGGTTTGTTCGAAAAATTTTCAAATAATCATAACGATAAACTTCTCTGCTATTAATTTTATTAGAAAGATAATTATGTTCTTGTTAATGCTTGCTCGATGCTTTCTAATAGACACAAGAAAAAATAAAAATAAACTGGAGAAGATGATTACTTCAGTCTTAGATCTTATGCAAGTCCGTTAAAAATCTATAGAAGACGCAATAAAATTCGAGACGCTCATCAACACAATTTTTATAACCTCCTCTTTCTGACTAAGCAAAGTTCGTGCACTTCAAATGACTTCATGAAAAGTTATGATTTGCGAGAAAATGCCATAAACATGAACCCGCTCTTTTTTATTATTTTTTTCGAGAATCATAATTTTTATAGGGCATGTTCAGTCTCCACGATCTTCGCTTGGTCAAAAAACTTATGTCATTGGCTGCCACGTTTTATTGTCAGTTAAAATCTGAGAGTTTGCCTCGGATCAGAAAAGATCAGTTGATATCTTCTTCTTCGACTTCTATCTCTGCAATGTTTGCATAGCTAGTTCAAAAATGTTATAAAAAACCACACTGTTTTCCCTTTTCAGCAAACTCAAATACAATAATGGCGATAAATTATCTAGCATTAGGGTGTCCCACAACTTTTTACCGTTTTTACTACAACCGTCGTCTTTTTGTATTTTTCCTTCGACTGATGTGGCTCAAATAATCGTTCGACAGGGAAAAGCAAGCTCTGCAAAACGGCCATCAATAATCTACCCCGATCGTACTCCATGTGAAGCTTTGAGCTGAAATCCGATAGCAGTCGAAAACGAACTTTACCGTCAAAAATCGTATCTCCGCCCCAAAACATCTCAAAAATTCCCCGTTTACGAGCAATTGACGCGTCGAACATTCATTTGTTCACTTTCCGTATTTTTTATGGCTAGAAATAAAGAAAAAATAAATGGTGTAAAATGGCAAACTCCGCCCCTTAGACGTTCTGAGCTCCTCTCACGCATGTGATCATATAGCTCATACATGCAGAAGTACGATTGTATTTGTATCCTCTGTAGGTGCCTTAGTCCTCGAGAAATGCTGATATTAAGGGTAAAAACGGTTAAAAATATGGGACACCCTAGTAGAAAGAGAGCGTAACTCACGAATTATTACGAACATCTGTAAAAGAACATGGATGAAAAGGCGAAAAGTTGATCTAATGTATAAATCAAAGGCGAAAAGAAAATCTAGTTTGTACAAGTACCATACGCACTACTCTAGTCCTATTCTCATCAATCAGAGCGTTCTAAGTACATCTGAGACAATAAAACAAAAAAAACCTCCAAAGAAATTCTGAGCTAAAGTTTGTGTTCCCAGCAAAATGCTTTCATATATCTTGATCTGATATGATTCTCATGGGGCTCATCGAAAAGAAGAACAAGTAAAGAGATTAGCTCAACAAAGTTTCGAGAGTCGCATGCTTCAATATATATTTGTAAAGTTGTTTCATTTCTATTTATAGAGTTAAAGATCATGCAATCTGAAACCTTTACATAAAAATCATCGCCAAAATACTGCAAAAAATACGAGAAAAGAGCGAGAAATGCGTGGAACTTGAAATGATGACGTGAGAGCTGTAACTCACACAAGTCTACGGTCGAATGGGCAGCCTAGCTAAAAAAGTAAAAAGAAATTTTATTTTCGTCTGCATTACGTGTCTTCCCTTGCACTTCGCTTCAGGACCAATGACCACAGAATTTTGTTGATCTGCAAAAATAACGTCCTACTGTTATATGGAGAGAAAAGTTTTCATTTAAAGTCAAAACTAGCAGTTCTGGGAAGCAAAATTGTCATCTCAAGCCTTCTACTACCAAATTTGCAGCAGAGCTAATTCTATGAGTAACTTATGTCCATATTTACAAGGTTTCTCGTCTTTGGTGAGATCTGATAGGCCTCTAATCAACATACTCATGAAAACAAATATTATCGTCTGAATCTGTCACATTTGTTATTCAGTAATATTTACACCGGGCTATAGAACTGGATTAATCCACATAGGATTTGTTCGTTGTAATGCGCTTGTTTCTTGGCATAGCCAGAGACACACACTGTGATACTCCCATACCACATGAATGCACTTGGAATATGACATATGAGCTTTTTTTACCTAATCTGCAGCCTTTCGGTGGTGTTGGCATCATGCCAGAGCAAGAATTTATGAGATTCTGATGGATTTAGCAAATAATATCGCAGTCGGAAGTAATGGATTTAGAAAGAAACAGCTGTAGTAGTTTGTAAGGAACAAAAAAATTTCATTTCTGGTGGAGATGATACATAAAAATTTTTTTCCTATTTTCTTTTCTTCTTTTACTTTTTATTCTATATTTTTTCTAGTGATTTTTTTCAGCTTTGACTTCTTACCATCAAAGTCATAACCTAGGTAAATCCTTTATTAGATTCCAATTCTCGGGATACCTTTCGGTAAAGCAAAGCAAGCTCTTAAAATGACTTCTAAACATATATTTGAAGTTTAACCAGCATAAATTTGGAAGCCACGATCAGAAAAGTTCCAGATGCCGAGAAATCTGAAAAGAAGAAAAAACCTGTGGGTAGCCGTTCTGTGTTCTTCGCACTTATGTGATTATATAGCTTATTCTTGAATTTGCATCTTTGCAAGTTTCTTAGTTCTTGAAAAATAGTTCGATTTTTCAATTTTAATCATGAGAACAATTTGCTACAAACATCGTGCCAGTGTTAAATCCACTTTTATCTTCTTTCAATTTGCAAAAATTCAAGATGACAAGCTTGTTGTAAAAGCCTAGAAAACGATAGAATTCTTGATTCAATATGAAAGTACAAAACGCTGGGACCATATTTTAGCGAAAGAAGAGAACTACACTTCTGTCCAAGTGTCAACTACAGTACCTCTACAGTATGCTCCATCACAGCGTTGGTAATCTGCATATCGGCCATTTTATTCAACAAATTGAACTTGATATGCAGCCTGTGACAGTAATGCTACAGTCGCCTAGATTTCCTTCCACTGTGTGCAATTGCACATTTTCCTTAATAGGATTTCATGGGACTCAAATATTGTTTACATATTTTCTTTGTTGTTCATACTCAAATGTATTCGAATTGATTCATACCTAAGAGACCTACGTCTTATCACTGATATTCCCAAAAATGTGCAATTGCACGTATAAGCCCCTATACTGCTATATATATAAACGCTTTGATTGCTTTATCTTCAGCAAAAACGAAGAATAGCTGCGTTTTTGTAAGATCTGTGATCCTTTGATCATTGACAACATGCATTTCCCGTACACTGAATAGCCTCATTGTCATTCCAGACGTAATTACTGACTGGATATTTTTGATTTCATCGAGATTCTGCAAGCGACAGAAAGCTTAAATCATGGTGTAACTTGATCAATCAAGCTAATTCTTTGACTTTTAACCTCAAATCAAAATATTCAGAATCAACTATCTTTTCTTTGTCTGAATAAAACTCAGAATTCTCTTGAAGAAAGTTGATGCATAAAAAGAATACCGCAGCATTTAGATTTCTTACATCTGCAAAGAATATCTGGAGTAAAACGGGAGAAATGAACAGAAGGGCAACCCAAAGCGAATTGGAACTCATGCCCTTTTGATTATGAGTGGAAATAATTCTATGGAAAAATTGCCATATTATTGTATTATCAAGTATTGATATTTTGTTATCAAGCAAGACAAGAAGGATTATTGTCTTCAGCGTGTTTTATGTGGGTAGCAATAATTTTTATTGTCAAACTTATTGCAGTGCATGAGCCGCTAAGAAATAGTCAACGATGTAAGATAATTTTGGTCTTTAACGACTACCGGAGGATTTTGAATATGAGAAAATTTTCGTTTTTCACCACTAACGCGGCAATAAATTTTCTTCTAGGTCCCAGAAGCACAATATCTCGTAAGCGTTATTTTGACGAGAACGACTTATAGTTTAGTGATCGTAAAAAAGATAAGGCATCATCCGCATGACTCAGTACATGAGTTCATCATGATAAAAGCCTCTTGTCTAGATGATTAAGCTGGAACGATGCCAGAACTCAGCATGAACTTTTAAAGACGTAAAATGTCATATAGCAATATTCAGCTGAGTTATTCAGAGTTTTCTGTTCTGTATAAAAAACAAAATTCAGTTTGAAAAATGAGTAACTTGCGATGAAATTGAGAAGCTACTGAGTTGTGAACATGAGTTGTAAGGAAACTAAATGGGCACTAGCATAAAATTTCCTCAAATCGCTGTAACTTGAAGTAATTTGATCCTCCTTGAAGGTTCAAAACGTGTTGTGAAGACAATGATGTCTTACAACCTGAGTATATCTTACATTGATTCATAGCAGACTAGCCGGTGAAAGAACGGATGCAAGGAAGGAAAAATGATGCTGATTTTTTAAATAGTAATGATCATGCTGATTTTATTGATTGGATTAATTGGAACCAAGGTAAATAAAAATAGATTTCAGTTTTAGAGCGTCAGCAATTTTTCTGAATGCAAGGCTCCTTATAGTTAGATGTATCATTTATCAGCGACCCGCTTTGAAGACCTCTCTCCATTTGCCATTTTAGTACCCTTCTTTACATCTATTAGTCCAAGTCTTCAATCTTCAAATTTTCTTTTTCGAGATAACAGTCCAGGCCCTGATGCAGGGCTCGGCACGAGGTGGCTTTTGGAAAACGCAAAAAGCAGAGTCCCCCTTGACTTTCGCGAATTTGTACAAAGTCTCCCTTTGAGACTAAACCCTGAATGTAAAAAACCCTAGGAAAACGAAACGGCTAAGAAAAACTTTCGAATTTTTATGTCTTTTCGGCCTCGAAAACGATACCTCCTTGGGTTTTTGTTCCAAAACGATATTCCGCTTGCTCTCAAGTCATCTGTGCCGAACCTTGATGTCAGAAGAAATAAGACTTTTCTTAGGAACTAACCTGAACTATATTCCGCACATAGAAAAGATCTCTTGTTGAGGTCTTGGGTGCAAAAAAAGATAAACACTGTAAAAAATGGAGATTCCGTATTCTGTATTATTCTAAAAAATTTATCAAATAAACTATGCACCACAACCGCAAACTATCCCAACTCCTTTTCGCCTCTTCCCTTACATATAATTATTGATCGATTGACAATAGTAATATCAGTGATAGACTATCGAATTTCAACATAGACAACATGCAAGTGTACTCAGATTATTTTACAAATATGTTCTAGACTTCACGTTTAAGATTCTTGAGAACAACAAAATTCAAAGAAAACGAACAAATCAGTGGGAAGCACTATGGTATCGGAGAAATGTCATTTATGATGGGATTTTTCGCTCAGGCTATGAGGAGTTTTTTTTTTACGATTGAGACAAGAGAATCTCAAAGAAATAAATTTCTCATGATCAACGAAAGAATAATTGCAATAGCTGATCATGAAATTCACTTACACCTTCTCGAGAGATGTCAAATATCGATTCGATATAAATTCTCTTACCAAAAAACATGCTGAAAATCCGTTCCCATTTGCGGAGAAGGAATGGATCGACATCCGGGTATTTGGCTTCAAGTTCACTAATTGAGGACCTAACCTAAATTTTTTAGCTTTGAAAACATACATATTTGAAAGGAGAGCTCAAAATTTGGAAGACGCCGACATTAAATGGACGCTGGTCTATTTCATTTACGCATCAAAATCCCAAAAAAAACATGTTCTCGATTCCTTTCCTACTCTACGCACCTGACTGACGATTTCAAATTGCGAGAACGAAAGTTGTTTGTACAAGTAACATAGAAACGTAAAAGAAAGCCACACATACCAGCGTTGGCTTCTGTGAAAGTCCAAACATTCTCAGCATTTCAACGACAGAAAATACCTACTGAGGACTGGACGTAAGAATCTGTCCCCCCCCCCCCCCCTTGAAAACTTACCATCACACGTAGCCGGGCAGATCCGGAGGGAATGTGCGCGGGCAATCGGCGAGCGAAGCCCCGCCTCTCCAGAAACCGCAAACTGAATGCTAGCTCGTGCTGCTGGCTGTGTCTAGAAGCATCGAAGACGTGTACTGCAGTACAATAATTGCTCCATTCATCATGAGACCTTGTCAATACCCCTCATAATCTCAGAAAGCTAATTCTCCTTTCCTGGAATACTGGTAGTTGGGAGAGTTCTTGGGTACTTGCACAAGAAAAATTTCAGCTCTAACCAGAAATTCTTTCTTTTCGCGATGTTTAAATAAGGTTTTGTAAAAAATTTTTACCCATTTCAACCAAAAACTGTGGTACTATGTTGATGTTCCAATATTTCTTATCCCGCACAGGTCGGTATGGTGGAACTTTCTTGACCTAACGTTTCGAACAACTCGCTTTCGTCGGATGTCTTCGGTCCACCAAGAAGTCAGTAGTCCGCACTACATCAGTGTGACGGGCATCACTCTGTGGTGCTATGTATACATTTTGATTTGAAGCTCTTCGTACCATGTAAAAAATCCACTTGTATGAGATGAGATACACTTTTTTGTGTACCCGTGCGGAACAAAAAAGGCTTTATTCGAGAGGACCATAAGACTGAGCGTAACCATGAATGTCACATCTACAGATAACTACCTTGCTTACATAGTACATATCATACATTTTGCACATCATTCCTGAACACTTTCAACCCATCATCAACATCCAGAATTACGAGGTTTACATTGTTGCACTTCGGAATACCAATAACCATCTCGGTGATTCCCCGTCAGCTTTTACACTTCCAGATCGTCATACAGCACTTACATCAATATTAGTTAGTGAGCTTTGGCGGTCTCTTCCAAAATTTGATCGTTTGAAAGTCCCATAAAATTTATTACTTGGACATAACGCGAAGAGAGCGAGGTTAAAGGCACCGTCCACCCAAAGTGGGGGTTCACAAGATTGGATAGCATACTGATGTGGGCCCACACGCTAAGCCAACCCCCAAGTTTCCCCGCAAAAGAGATTGCTTCCGGAGCGAGAAATCCACTGCGGAAGGTGCCTTTTAGATTATTCTTGTTTCCTTCCCTATCCTGTTGTGTTGAGGCAACACATTCATTCCATTTATAATTTTCACGTGTAAGGTGGCACATCATTTGCAAAAAGGATGTTCAAACACGTAAATAAAAGAGAGTTGTACGATTAAGTAAAGCAATCGCTGCGAAAGAATAACGCCATAAGATGCGATTATGATGCGCGATAGTGAGAGCTACCAGATACGCTTGTCAGCAACAAATAGACAATGAAAGTCCAAAATAGAGACTATAATTTAGCCATTTCCTTCTCTGGAGTTTTATAAGCAAGAAGTAGTCTTGGATTTCGCATCCACAAAGTCAAAGTTTAAGCTGGATCATATTACAGCCAGCACGTTTGTGGACAATATACTTGACATGGATTTCTGATAGTCCCTGTCAGTTATGACCATGGCGTCGTCGATCGACAGTCACTTCTGCTACGCATGATGAAACAAAAAGACCCAAGTTGTTGGCAGAAGCTTTGGTATTTCATCTGGTTTCACGGGTATGATGGTGATGCTATACAGCACCAATGGCGAGACATCCAAAGTCAACATCAAGCACTGAAGGGAATGTAAGACTTACAAGATGGCTTTATTGCGCAGACTTTCTTTGAGGGCCCATCTCAGTTTAATAAATATGCGCTCACACTGGAAATACTAAAGAACTCCAGGCACTCTCCAAAACCAGTTACAGTTCGCTGCGATAAACAGCTACAAAAGTCTCGGATGTACCAAGTAATTATCTAATCAGGTGCTCTTCATGGTAGCAAATGCTGGCAGAATATTTGTGGGGAGTAAAACTTTATATAAGACAATAATGCTAGAGAAAAGCGTTCATTTTTAAGTGGTCGACTCCTTAATTATGCACCCCTCTATGGATTACTTGTTCTAACACGACGTACAACAGTGGAGCGAAAGTAAAACAACGTAACATCGATTAAGAGGTCCGGTAACGCTGATTACGAAGCTACCTTCCGTTTGTTAAACAAGAACGAAGTGGGAGTTAGTTTTCTGCTTTCAGATTGCAGGATGAAGTCTCTTGGGACGACACGTGTTGCAGAAAATGCGAAGCTGCTCCAAAATCTCACCCTTCAATGTCTAAAACGTATCTTAACTATGAGAAAGACACAAAAGACATATAAAGCTACTTGTCTATCTCGCTTTTGCAGTAATCATCAAATTCAGTGTCAAGTGAGCCCAAACACGTGCCCTGCTTTCTTCCCGCGATGATGTTACGAAATATCCATCACCCTCACAATACTTAGTTGATTCATCTTTCATCAAATGCCTTAAGTTGTTTCCACTTATATTAGATACCAGTGGCGTACCGAGGGGGGAGGGGGGGGCGCCCCTTCCCCCCGAGAATGGGCGCGAGATTTTTGAAAGTTACTTAAATGTGTTATAAAAATGTGCAGAGGGCTTGTATTTATGTAAATAATTGAAACAATTTTTAAAAAATTTTAAAAGTTCAAATTAGCCTTGTAAAAAAATTTTTTTCGGGGGCGTGGCGGCAGCCACTCCCCCTTTTTCTGAAATTTTGGGGTCAGGGGCCCGGAAAAATTTTGGGAAACATTCCAAGAAATTTTCGGAGTGGGTGACTGACGCCACGCATCTTCATTGAAAAACTTTTTTGTCCCCCCCCCCACGAGCCGAAATCCTGGGTACGCCACTGTTAGATACCTATCCTTATAAGAGGAACCCTTGGAGTTACCGTGCTAGAACATATCCGGGATAAACCGCACAAAGCACGATGAAGGTTGCGCTAGATGAACACTTCACTTATCGAACACGTCCGTGGAGACATCAAAGACGCTAAGAAGAAGATTCAATCCAGGAGGTAAGAGGAAGATTCAGGAGGTTGACATTTCTTCCTGTGAAGTTGGGGCTAAATATGGTACAAGGAAAGACGCAGTCCAAATGACTGCGTATAACGGGAAGTTACCCAAAAACAGAACTCAGCAGCAAATCTCGGAAAGATAAGTGTGGAGAAATCTAACAAGAGTCAAGGAATTTAAGTTAAGAAGAAGAAGTGTGGCTTGGTTCCAGTCATGAGGGCACATTATAGCTTCAAAGTTTCTTTCGTCATAAAGTCGAGACTTTCGACATTTTACAATCCGAGACTACCCCCATTTCCAACAGGTTCATTCCAAAGTTTGTGTTTGTGCACAATTGTTCCGAGCGTCCTCTGGATTCGTATTGATTCAGTGATTTTAGGGCAGTTGAATGTTTGCCGTAGTAGACAACTCGAGGTTGGCGGATTTCAACTCTGCGAGGAAGGGATGCTTGGTCACCGTGGCCATTTCAGTCAGAAGGCACACAATAAAATGCATCCAATACACTGACTGTAGTTTTGTGAGAAATTGCGTAATTCTAAGTAATTAAAATAATCAGTATTGACCAGCTCTCCTTTTGAAGTATAGACCGTTTCAGTGTACAATCTTCTCTAGTTATACCATATTGCGTATAAGTTGACTGTACACCAATCTTCTTGCTAGTCAGTGTTCTACAACAAGTAATAAAAGCCTTGAACTCTGCACCTTGGAGAAAGTGGGAATTAACAATGAGTGATCATCTTAATCATCCGTTACTGAATTCAGCCAATATGGTATGACTAAAGAAGATTGTATCTTTAAACCAATCTTTACAACTGATAATTTCCTTAGGCAAATCAAATATTTGGTAGACGTGATAAACGCAAATTCTTTTCTGGCAGTAGCGCGTCTATATTTCCAGTGAATTAGCGGATTAGGATTACCTCTTGACAACCTTATAATTTATCCAATTTTTGTGGTCATTTGGCACTCAAGAAAACTTGCTCTTTAAAGTCTCGTTTTTGGGAATTTGATGAATGCTGGTCGCACTGCATATCTCAAGGCTCAGGGATGTATCTGAAGTCCAAATGCTGGAAGGTGATAAGTTCTCCAAAGACGTTTAGCAGAAAGTGGCTGCAAGTTTTGACCAACTTCGATGTCGCCGTACCTGCCATTTTTCTCCAGAACTCCCTTTTGTCAGCACGAAATTGCAAAATGTTAGTGTTAAGCAGTGTGACGTTCGTAATGTGCGAAACAGAGTAAGATATAGCGAAATGTCATAGTGGCTGCAAACTTTCAGCCAGCACTGTATATACAGGCTGTTCCAAAATTTTGCACGCTATTTGACTCTCTCGAGTCAGCACCTTTCTTCAATCTCTCGATGAAGGGCCAGGCATACATTAGAATATTTCGCCTCCTCGCGATTCTCGCAGCAAGACATCTGTCACGAGTTCATTGCAGGCTAATTGTCTTACATTTCGGTTATGATAGGTATTCGCGGTTAGTCGGAGAGCTATCACAACCGAAATGCAAGATGATCAGCATGGACTTTGAATACTAACTGCGTTATACAAAGTATTGACGAAGACTGTCTCGTATGGCAATTAATATTCAGTTTGAGAAATGAGAAACTTTTGGTGAAATAGAGAAACCACTGAGTTGTGAAGAAGTACACATGCACTAGCGTGAAATTTTTTCAAATCATTGGAACTTCAAGTGATTCAATCCTTGAAGGTATAAAAAATGCTCATATGTCATCTTACATTGATTCATAGCAGAGTAGCCGGAGAAGGAAGGTAAGAAAGAGTAAATGATGCTGGAAATCATGACATTAGATTGATTGAACTGATTTTGAGGGAAATAAGGGCCCAATGGTGGCGATTTTCGACTTTTAACCTCCACTAACTATTCTTTCAGGCAAAAATGGACCATTCTGAAATCACAAAAAAATTCTATTATTTGTCACCGATCCACTTTGGAGACTTCTCTTCATCTGCCATTCTAACGAGGGAAGGATAATTGGTGACCGTGGCCTTTTGCAACGAGATGTATACCAGTAGGTGCGTCTTGGAACGCTGATTCTGAATCTATGTTTACCACCTGCTGTGCTACTCCCTGAGCAAAGTTATAGACTTTTTTCCATATTGACTTCGCGAGATTTAGATAGTCAAAATCGTCAATATCCCGGCTTTTAGACTCTAATGTATCGGTGACAGTTGTCCTGAACTTGACGTCTTTACTGTATCTGTAGGCCCTTTGGTGATGCGAAAGCGAACATTCCAACAATATTGGTAAATCCTGCATCACAAATAGTGCAAATTTTGGTGAGAAAAAATGTTCTTAACTTCTTTCGGAAGAGCGCACAGCAGATAACGAAAACAAATGTGGAATCAGCGCTTTAAGATGCATTTAATAGTGTACGTTTCATTTTAAAAAGTCACGGTCACCAAGTATCCTTTCCTTGTAAGCACTCTTCCTGCATCTCGATCTCAATTTTTTGCGTGAGATACCATTCGCGCGGGCAGTAATGCCGGGAAGAATAGAATACTTCCTCAAAAAACAAACTTGAACTATATTCTGAACATAGAAAAAATCTACTGTTGAGATGGATGCAAAGAAATAATAGAGTGAAAGAAAAATTTCGTATTGTATTTGATATGTATCGAAAAAACCTGTGTACCAGAAAATAAGTATTTCCTAACTTCGTTTCTTCCTTCCGACTCCTACTAGTATTGATCAATTGACAACAGTAACATCAGTGATAGAGTAACGAATATCAACATAGACATAAGTCTGTGCTTAGCATTTAAGCCCTTAAATCCCTCCCGAAAAGGCTCCTCTAAATTAGATTTGGAAAGGGTGATCGTCTGACTCAGAAAATACTATCATTCTAAACCAGAAGGAAAAACTTCGGAGTGAACTCAGAGACTCGACCACACATGTTGCTTCACATGTCTCAATGGAATCTTTACCCTCGAGGCCCTCAACATTTGTAGAAAAGAAGAGAATCCGCTTTTCCCAGGGAACAAGGGAGACATTGATAGGAAGATTTTTTCTTCAGAGAAGGAAGACCAGATCGGCACGGCTTTTTATGTTCAAGGTATGTAATCTGTTGAATTCTGTTCTTTTTATGAAAGAAATTTGTACTAGTGGAAAGATCGAATCTTCTGATTTCAGATCGATAATTCTCTACCGTCATCAATACATAGTAGTAGACATGTGTGTTTTCATCCATTAGGAGCATACCTCAATACATAGAGCCGTGTACTCTGGTGACCTTCGCTTCGAGGGCACGAAAGGACACAATCTTACCTGAGATAAAACAAAGGCATCACCCCGGATGTTACTGTCATGACCACCCCTCAATAAAGAAGAAGGAGCATAGCGAGTAATATCTTCAGAATATTCCAAAACAAGTGTTTTTATAGCCTTTTTTTGTGCTGCAAACGAGGTTTTCGAGTAAATTTCTACAGAATATGAAACAACATATCTCTCTTGAGCTCTTCTCAGACCACACTTGTGTGCAGAAGTTCAGGAGAGCCTTGAAGTTAATAAGAACGAGAAACTGAGCTTGATTCTTGCGCAGAAATTCAAGCACAAAGATGCTGGCTTATCGCATCAATGTGTCAGTGCTCCTAGTCGTATCATGAGGATCAGAATGATTTATAATCTTGCAGGGTTTCTTTGAGACGCCGCGGAGATCTACGACCAGAGCCAAGTGCCCCGCTGGCTTTGGTCTTTCTCCTCTGCTTGTCTGCTCTCCGCGGGCTGCGCGCTACCTCTCTACCCCATACGCGGGGCGCAGGGCATTTGGCTTTGGTACCCTTTCTTTCGTTGTTCTGAAATCGATTTTAACAAACTGTATATCACATTAAAGCTCTTGATCTCAACTTTCTTGCTGACAACGTCCCAAAACCTCATTTTGCAGGAAAAACCTGCGAAAGGCGTGTTTTCAAAAATCTCTTGTTTTTTCTCTAGTTCATCTCTTCTCACGCGAATTTTTCTGGCATTCGACACTTGCTTTCGTTCATTGTAGAAAACCTCCCAGAGCTTACTTCTTCGATTATGATGGTGAAAAGTGTGTCTTTTTTACCCTTCTCACCAGTACTCTTTCATCGTGTTCGCAGAAATTGCTATCCGGTTTGGGAGATTGTTGCTCAGAATAATAAGCGCAACAATCTAGACAACGTCCCAGGATATAGGAACGTCAATGCAGGGAAAAACTTCAAAGGACGCATCAAGAGTCAGATTCTGCTTTACGTGCATTTCCACTTAGTAAGATAGAAACCTTGCGTTTTCTTAACTAATTCCTTTCTTGTTTACCTTCTTCTTGATAACTCACTTGCGAAGCATGATTCTTTTCAAAATAATCACAAAAGATAGATTAGCTTTTCTTCCTTTTTCCTGTATTGTGAAATACTGGTTCTGGAGCGAAAACTTGTACTATGAAATGCCACCAAAGTGAAAGATTTCAAACTCGCTGTAGCGCTTTTAACCGGCTTTCAGGAGTTTCTATTGCTTTTGATATCTGTTTTGCGTCTTTTTTCTTCTCTGACCTTCCATAAATAACACTTTTTATGGGGGGGGGGGGGGTGGGAGGGGCGAATATTCAAACAACCTTCACTTTGGACGTCCTGTCTTTATCTTATCTAAGGTATGATCAGGAGATCAAAAAGGAGGGTTGTGCAAATGGTCTAAGTGAGTGACTTTCAGGCAAACTCAAAATAAAAATAGTTTTTCAAATAAATTTGCAGGTAATTGCGAGGCACAATGGCTTAACCGCTTCAGAGTTGATCATGGAAAACCGGTAAAGGAAAATGTGCTCGCTAAGTTCACCTTCATTCTCAAAGAAGAGCAGTCTGAGGAGAAGAGAGGGGAGGGGGGATTATCTACATGGGTTTCGAGAATTAGCGAGTGAATTATTTTTGTTTTGCGTAATTGGGGTAATTGCATGATTTTTGTATGCCAAATTGGTTTTGTAAAAAGTTTGTAAAAAGGAACATTCTTTCAACAAACTTCTGACTGGTGGAAAATTTGAGAAGCGCCTTGGAATTTCGTTTCCCTCCACCGAGGATTACCGTCCATTCTCAAAAATTTTTAGAAAACTCGTTGCCTCCAGCATTATCTCAAAATAATTTTGACAATTTCGTAAACGTCCAAAGTAGCCTACTAAAAATATTTAGGGGTGCGTCCAACCTTATAATATCTCAAAATGATTTTGACATTTAGTAAATGTCCAAAATAGCCTCGTATAAATATTTAGGGGTTCTTTGGATCTCGCATCCAAGACTACACCTAAGATTTTTGTCCCTCCGCCATATCAAGTTCTCGAACTGCCACTATTCCCACCGTGCCCTTTAACAATTTTTTTCTTTTCAGATGCAGCGAACGAGGGATGGAGCCATTTTTGACGTCGCTGGACTCCCGCCAATGGCTAAATGGCATTTCTTCGTCCGGAGAATTTGCCACGATGGCCGTCGAAAGTCCCATTTTCGCGAGTCTTCTTTCTGTTTTCGTTGTGATCAAAATGCTTCACTCCCTTATTTTGTTGTTCGCTTAGCGTAACCAGAGCTCCTAAGAAAAAGTAGAAGGAGATGTTTTTGAGTACTGGTGATATTTCCTAGGCATTTACTGTTCCTTGGGCCCAGCTTCTCCTTGCTAAATCCTCATCGATTGACGGTGTAAATTGTACGTTTTATTTCTAAACAACTTTAGCCTGTCTGCTCGGCAGTGCATTACCCAGCTTTTCGCCCATGTATATTTACACTTATTTGTTGCATCTTTCAAAGCAGATGGAATTGCATTTTCCAAAAACTGGTCTAATTCAAGATTCTTTCATTTTCGTTTTCATTAAATACTCGAGGCGTACCATAAAAAACAAACAATGTAATTGTTAGTTTTACACAAAGCACGAATAACAACATAACATCATATGCTTCAAGCCCAGACTTCATACGAACCAAAGAATAACACTCAGCTTGCAAGAAGACTGCTGGATATTACGAATATCAATAATGAGTTATATCCACAGAGATGGAACCCATGCCCCCGCGTTAGCTAGCAAATGATCTTAAAGTATTCAAACAAGCAAACGACGGTGGGTAAGCACCTACGGGCCTGCTTTCAAGCCAAACTTCAGTGCGAAACACCCTTCAGGTTATGATCTTTGCCAAAAAATTGTATGTTACATATATTTGATGATTATATCATTGCCTTTGTATAGTGCTTTGATTTTTTCCTTTCCTTCCGATCCGGCTAACTTTATTGCCATCACATGTTTATTGATAATGAATATGACAATAACTACAATATGTAAAGAAACAGAATCAGAACGGACGAAGAAACAAGTGTTAGGGTGCACTAAGTACAGGTTTTTTAGTTTTCTTGGAAGTCAGAAACACCAAACAAGTGATTTCCAAGAGCATTCTTGTCGGTGGAATAGAAAAGATCGTAAAAGTGACGGGCCCACATTTCTTTGCTGACAACTGGAACATTCTTTCCGCTTGCGTCCTGTAAAATATGAACAGAAGATTGGTGAATACAGTTCCATAAAAATTTTCGTAAGCAAAAACAGCACACATTTCGAAGACTTTCCATCTTTTAGTAACCTTTCTTGGAAGTCTTTTGTTACTTGGAAAGACAATCCATCGTTTTTTTTTTGGAAAACGAGTTCCGATCAGCTTTAAGTTCGAAGGTGGACGTTGAACGTCATCCACTCCATATTCACTCAATAACATTTAAGCCATTCCCAAAGTATTAGGTTGTCCCGAAAATTCTGTTGTTTCATTTTTGAAAAATCATACTTTGCGCTGTCTCAACGGATTTACTTCATTACATTTTTTTAGAAACAATAAATCTTTCGCTCTCGAACGTTTTGCTGACCATCTGCTATGCACTGATTGCAGAGGCAAAAATAGAAAAAGGAGACCATATTAAGCTTTCATTTTAACTTAGGTCGCCAAAAATCGAAAAGGCAGAAAAATCTGAAATCGTGAATACGTACTTTTTTGGCCTACCCTTTGCAACTGTGAAAAGTTTGTCCTGTTTGGACGTCTCTTTGAAAAGTTATGATTTTCGAGAAAAGTGTCAAATTAATCAATTTAGGCGTTTGCAGCAGTAAACTGGTAACTTTTCAAAGAGACATCCAAACAAGACAAATCTTTACAGTTGAAAAGAGTAGGTCAGATAACTTATGTATTGACGATTTCAGATTTTTTTGCTGCTTTCCAGATTTTTGACGACCTAAGCTAAAATGAGCAGAGTTTATATGGCCTCCAGTTTCCATTTTTATCTCTGCAGTCAGTGCACAGTAGAAGCTCAACAAAAAGGCATTCGAAAGAGAGAGATTTACTCTTTCGAATAAAAACAAAGTGAAGTAAATCCGTTGAGATAAGGCTAGGTTATGATTTTTCAAAAATGAGACGACAGAACTTTCGGTACAATCTAATATTTTTTATCATTTTACTCCAGTAAGCTTAGGTAGACTCCAAAACTCACAGAATAACTATTAAAAGACTACTAAAAAAATTCCGAATTTGCGCTTCTTCTTCCCGGTATACGAGTCAGTAAAAAGCATCTCCATTTTTGCCCTTCTTTATCGTTAACTTTTTCTTTATACAGGGTGTCCGTAAAGTATGTATACACTGTTTGATCGCTAATATCTCTTTTCCCAAGGAGTCTTTTGCCTTGCTTTACATACCGTTTTGTAGAGCTGGCCTAAACTTAGATTTGCAGTATAGAACGAATCACCCATCTCTCTTCATTACTGTAGGATTACGGTGGAAACTTCAAAGGGGGTTTTAAGCCATGAAAGGCCATATTTTGCCTCAGAAAGGAAACAAGACAGCCTGAAAACTTTTACACTAGGCTAATTAGAGTTGCTGATTCTAAGTGTATAGTTCCCAACTTATTATGTTGCTTCATTGAAGAGTTATGCCAGATAAGAGGTAGCGGCCATTTTTCAATGTTCCTAAAAAGTGCGGTTACACCGTTTAGAAAGCTTCGCAATCTTGTGAATAGTTGAGTATTGAACTCAGCGTCCATAAAAACCCTATCACACAAGTTTTCACATTTTTTTGGAAAATTTTGAAACGACAGCTTTTTCCACATTGACACCATATGTTTCAAGTTTCTACCGCAATCCTGCAGTAATGAAGAGAGATGGGTGATTCGTTCTATACTGCAAATCTAAGTTGAAGCCAGCTCTACAAAATGGTACGTAAAGCAAGGCAAAAGACTTCTTGGAAAATGAGATATTAACGATCAAACAGTGTATACATACTTTACGGACACCCTGTATATATTGAGTTTCGCGAAGTCAAATTAGTCCATACTAGAATCAATATCTTTTCTGTTTTGGCTGAAAACATTGGATCAAAAGGTGCTTTTTGTATAATCAAAAGTTTGTTAATGTGGTTGAAGTAGAAAACTGTTGCGAAAGTCCAACTAATTTTTTTCCAATCAGTTTTCCGTTTTGTGATGGTGTGACGTGAGCTGAGACCCAGTGAAAAGCTGGCTCAGCATCCGATCAATATATCTTCCTGTTAGAAACAAATTCTCGTCCTGATTTTTGTAAGTGCAAATAAATTCCTAAAATATAATAGATTGCGGGAAAACGCACCACAGCAAATTTCTGAAAAGCTTCTTTAGCCTCCGGACGTTTTACTCCGTACACATTCATGCCGTCGATATATTCTTCTATATCCAGTAAGTTATCGCCTGAAAAATCATCGTTTCGTGCCACAAAAAAACAAAATCATATGATAGCTGTAGTAATTTTGAAGTCGTCATGAAATAAGATGAAATTTTTATCGGGGCTTAAGAGAAGCTCTCAAATTTCCTTTGGGGATCTGACTACTACCCATCATACTGTTCTCCATCTTTAAACCAAGCGAAATGTCATTCATTCGTCAAAAGCACAGCTACTGGACTTAACAGCGGCCAAACAAGAGGTGGAATATATCATTTTGCGCAGTAGAGCCCCTTTTCAGGGATACGGTCTCATTACGGTAGGCATATCTGATGGATAAATTTGTACTCTATTAGGTGATCCCAAAGGAAACTCCATTTTCAAATAAATCGAGCTGTTTTTGTTTTCCTAATAAACTTAGAGTACCATTGGATAGAGCGTAGCAACTTCTACGGAACGACCACCAAAGATCCGCCTAAGTCGTATTCTAGCAAAATTTGGAGCCAACAAGAATCTCCTTCCAAAAAATTTTTACGAACTTCCAACTTGGTTCTTTATATAGTAGGTAGACACATTGTAGCACCCAAAAATGTATTTGGTGGATTTTTGACTCAAAATTGAGAAACAAAGATGATGTGAAAATGTCAAAATGCCACTTTTTCGCGTTTTTCGCGTAAAATTGGTATTGCTCGATTCAAAAGGGCACATGTAGGGATGAAGTTCCAGAATTATACTTACTGTTAAGAAACCTTGTAGTATACAACGACATCTGTGAAAGGGGCTGGAGGCGGAGTGCCATTTTTGAGCTAGTTTTTCCCCGCTTTCTACACACGAAAAAAATCCAGTGAAAATCTAAGTCTACTATGTGCCTACGGTATAGTGACCAATTTGGAGGTCCGTAGGATTTTCTCTCGCAGAAATCCAATTTTAAGGCGATTTTTTCCATTTTGGCTTCAAACTTGACTTAGGCGGATCCTTGGTGGTCGCTTCCTACAGCTTGATCTGCTCTATCGAATGATACCCTAAGTTTACTAGGAAAACGAAAACAGCTTGGATTATAGAAAAAAGGAGTTTATTTTTGAGACAACGTAATTTGTGTGTTACGCACGAATGGCAAGTCTTCGCAAAATTGCACTATTCACAAACTTCACCATAGTTATGAGTTGGCTCCAGACAGAAATCCTGTTTTGGAAAGGGCTTTTTGGCTGTCTGAAAGTAAAAGAGGACAAGCCTGGCCATTGTTAAAATATTATTTAGTCTTTTGAGTATAATAAAAAGGGAAAAAGTCTTTCGTCTTTCGAAATGTTCAAAAGAAGAGTTTATGAAAAAGCTTTTGCCTGGAATTAATTGCCGACGATAAACTTCAAGATAAAATTGAGCATGCCTATAGAAGAACATTTCTACTTTTGCGGTGGCCAGGATACACCCCTTTTCAGGCCTTGCAACGGTAGCGACATAAAGAACTGGTCCCTAAGGTTTTTTGGCGATTACGGTAACTAAGCACTTTGCAATTACGATAACTCACAGGAAACATCGAAAAGTTGAAACATAAATGTTCTATAGTCAGTGAACCATTGCATCTCTTCACTCTTCGTGGACGATTTCAAAAATTTGATCCATTCATCGATCGATACCGATTGATCCTGCAAAATGGAATATTGGAAGATGTCCAAGTTCTTATGATAACTACATTATCTGAGTCGGCGGTTTTACAGAGATTTTCCCAAAGGGTAGTTAAGGTCTTCCTAGCGAAGTCTGTTTGTTCAGATTCTGCACCGTAGATATCCTTTACCTTCTGAAAACATATGCTTAACATTAACTAGAAATTATAACCGAAATAATTGCAGGTTGAATAAAAAACATCGAAATTTTTTTAGAAGTGAGGGGCAACCGAATTCTTAGCTTTATGGCTTGGCAAAGTTTCACAGTCGTTTAGAATACAGAAAAGATTCAATATCAATTTGAGCGCTTTTTTCTACACAATTGCTAGATGGGTCTCATCGAATTTACAATCTGGAGCGTACAATAGATTCTCAAATATGACCATCAAGTTCTTTATTATACTTATTAGCTTTATGGCTTGGCAAAGTTTCACAGTCGTTTAGAATACAGAAAAGATTCAATATCAATTTATGAAACACATTCACATGTGCAAATGGGAAGAAAGTACTTACCCGAATAACCAAGTAGAAATCTCCTCTATCGATTTGATGCGAGGCATTGCGATCTAAAATCATTTTGTTAAGGGCTTCAATAAAAATTGTGTTCTAGTTTGTTTTCAAAGAGGTAGAAATTTCTGGATTTGACAAATTGATGAGTAAAAGAAATAGGTCAAGCTCGTAGATTTAATCAAGTTCAAAATAGTGAATCAGCTGAAAAGTTCATTTTTCTAGCTTGTTTGCCTACCATTAGTTTGATATGAGGAATTTACTTTTATGCAGTGGTATCTCTTCACGGCTAATAAACACGAAATTAAAACGGAAAAATCTCAAGCGTTTCTAAGTTTGAGCCAACTCGCCAAAAATTTTCGAAAGAAGCAATAAAATTTGAAGCAGGTAATTACCACAATTTTTATCCCATCATTCTCAGTTAGCTAAGTTCGTGCTGAGCGAAAGTCATGAAAAGTTATGATTTTCGAAATGTTCAACAAGAATGACTGCGCTCTTTTTTATTGTTTTCTCGGAGATCGAAGTTTTGATCTGCACGAACTTCGCTCAAGTGAGAAAAGTCCAAAAAGTCCAACTCTCATTCGCAACTGTCTCGAATTCTAAGGCTGAATTTTTTGTTGTTTTCAAATCACTAGAGAGCGACTGTCTTCTTTTCTGTTTCTATCCCTGCAATCTGTAAATATAGAATTGCTAGAATGTCTCAAGAAATTTGGTGTTTTGAATTTCATATGCCTTTGTTTTAAGTGATAAGCTGTCGTTGTCCAAAGTCCATGGCGATTTCGTGAGTTTATTGTTATGCGAGACATAAAACGTTGAGGGAGACGTCGTTTCAGATGCCTTAGCAGTTATGTGTACGTCCCCCTCGAGGTTTTATGCAAGCATCGCTCTATTGAGGTCAATGCATGTACTTTGGCTGCGTTTATACTGATCCCGAAGTTCGGGAACAGTTCGAGCACAGCGTTCAGTTCGAGCGCTGTGCTGGAACTGTTCCCATACTTCGGCATCAGTATGAACGCAGCCTTTGGGACCGTAAGGGGTGGGGTCTGAAATATCTTCGGTTTTGGCGGGATAAGCGGCCGATTCCGATTTTTCGACTTGTGCTGCATAGACGCCTCGCCACTCCCGTTCCCGTCAGGCCTGAACCCTCTACTAATCAGTCTGCAGAGCCTACACGATTCCAGAGTTAGAAAACATGGCGGAAGAGGTGGTCCAAATTCGACGCGAAGATCTAGACAAGCGCCTCGACTCCTGTCGTTGAAGTGCAGACGATTTAGCCAGCTTCACCGCACAAATCGATCTTTCCCGAGCCTGGTCCAAGTCGTCAGTATGATTTCAAGCCAATCTACTATCTCTCTTACCGATAGCCGACATCGACCCGAGAATTTCGGCATAAAACAGCAACTCACCGAAGCGGTAGGCTTGAAGCAAAGAAACCGCTTGTGAGAGTACCATCATAAGAAGGCGGAATTCATGGAAGCTTTCAAACCGATCCTAGCGGCCTTCTTCCATGAGAAAAAGAAGAAGAAAGAAGAAAAGAAGCCGTCTGTGCGCAATCAAACGTGGACGCTCAAATTACAGTCCTACATGCTTGGCATGAAAGTAGGAAGAAGCGGCAGGGGCTACCGTTCTCCCCATTTTCAGCCTTACCCGCAACCAGCCCCATTCGCCTTTCAAGCTATGCAACAATCAAGGACCACGGACCCTTTTACTTCATTTTCGCCGAAGCAATCACGAACTTTCAGAGCAATATGCTGCAACTGTGGTGGATTTAACCACTTTCGAAACAATTTCACCCTCCTACGCAAAAGAAAGTGAGTTCATCGCTGGTCTTGTTCATTCAAGAGTAAATTTTCGGCTTCCTCTTAAGCCATCCAAAGTAGTGCGGGATACTGTCCTTCACGGCTTCTTCTCGATTCCATCCGTGAACGCGCGATAGCTAAGCAGGCACAATGCTCTTTCAGCCTTTGAGAATTTGCTTTTTATAGATGAGGAAGCTGGCCGGCTTCTCCTTTCCAATTCTATAGTGCAAAAGAAAAAATTCAGATATTAGCGGGACGAGGATCAGTCCGTTATGTAGCTAAAGTAAGAAAGTGAGATTGATTCTAGACCTTTCACAATAAGCCTTTGAGAAATGTTAGTGTGAAGTACAAAGACGTGAAGAAGGCCTTTACTTCCAAGAAAGGGTTTTACGTCTTATTTCGATTTACATGCCGGCTATCACCGTGTATTCCCAAGAATTTTACTCAATTTTTTGCGCTTTAGTCGGAGAAACGGGTCTATTAATTCTTGGTGCTGCATTTTGGCCTCTCCACAGCACCTCACAATTTCACCAAAATCATGTGGCTACTTCCGGGCCTTTTTAAACATTACCGCAATCCTTGGCTCCCAAATTTTTTTGTAGAGTTACATCCCAGCATATGAAACTTTTGCAGCACCTAGGACCTGTCATGCTACTCAAGGAAAATGATCCTTGCATTTTTCGCTTCCAAAGGCATCAGAAGTCAAACTTCGTCAACAAACAGCTGGGTTGAGGAGTTTTCAAGCCCGCGTTCATTTCAAATGACAGTCCTGGAATATACTTAGCCTTTTTGATAGATAAGGTGAAGAGCGCTTTCGTAAACTCCGCCTAATCGCTGATATTGACAATCAGACTCCAACCTCACCATAGGGTTGTCGCGCTTTTGCACCACAAAACTCACTTTCCAATGTTCGTGAAGTGATGGACACGATTTATTACATTGTCTACATGGAGATGCATCTTTTGCAACAACTTTTAGATTTTTTCTAGTGCTGCAGTTGCCATTTAGATCTGAAATACTTTCAACGAAAATTCTATGCGAGCAGTAGATTTAAATAATCACAAATCTCACTATTTTATTCTGTGTTTCATGTCGCATTTTGCGCGGTAGCTGAGATTAGCAAGATTTTGAAGTTTCAAAAGGTCTCCTGTTCGATTTCCTGATTTGAGTTGGATATGATTGTGCAGGGTGCTCGACTCAACTCTTAACGGATGAAAACTGCGGCGGAACCAGAATGTGCAACCCCGAAATTTTTTCCTGACTAGGCACACAAGTTTATTGTTGTACGTGTATTATTGCGGCTACATTGCAGAGTTTTCTGTAACTTGAAAATCGAGTTTTGTGGTGCAAAAGCGCGACAACCCTATGGTGAGGTTGGAGTCTGATTGTCAATATCAGCGAATACGCGGAGTTTACGAAAGCGCTCTTCACCTTATCTATCAAAAAGGCTAAGTATATTCCAGGACTGTCATTTGAAATGAACGCGGGCTTGAAAACTCCTCAAACCAGCTGTTTGTTGACGCAGTTTGACTTCTGATGCCTTTAGAATCGAAAAATGCAAGGATCATCTTTCCTTGAGTAGCATGACAGGTCCTAGGTGCTGCAAAACTTTCATATTCTGAAATGTAACTCTACAAAAAAGTTTGGGAGTCAAGGAATGCGATAATGTTTAAAAAGGCCAGGTGTCTTTATAATTATGTCCAGCTTGCAAAACAGGCCTTTTCGAATTTTTCCATTTTTCTCCGTTCGAAATCAACGGGATTGGAAGCCGTTCTGAGGAGTTATGGTAGGCTTACATGCGCACCATACAGCAAAGTTTCACACAGATTCACTGACAAGAACGAAAATCACGACGATTTCTAGAGTGTCTCTATAATTATGTCCAGCACTGTATGCTGTCCCTAGTTCACAGTTAATGGCGACTTTGTAACGTGCTGCTCACAGCACTTCCCGGGCCTAGCAACGCAGTTATTGCCCCAAATCACTTGAATATCAATTTACGTATTGAATCACCTCTTTGGAGATCTCACCGGCGACGACCTGGAAGTACAGAAAGCACGGCTAAACATGGCTATCAGAAGGGGCCCCCTGTTTGACACAGGAAAAATACATCAGCCGAACGTCAACCATGTCAAGTCTGGGCATAAAAAACTCAAACCAAATCTGCTTTGAGAGGTGCCATGCTGATACTGTTCGCCTTCTCCGTTTTCTTACAATTCCGATCTGTCATACCAAGAGTCCTGTATCTGGTCGCTACTTATTCAAAAATCGAAGACGGACCAGAAAAGAAGGCGCGACGGTAGCTTTTTATTGGAACAGCGAGGAAAAGGACCTGTGAAATCACTTTGCGATACCTTCTCTCCATCCCCTCCTTCCAACCTTATTTTTGGCAATAGAAGGGTATCTGCGATTACGAGGGACTTCGTTGCACGATTCAGAAAAGTCTGCGAGAGGCCGAACTCGGGGCAAAAAAGCTTACTTCGCATTCATTCCGCGAGGCGCTGCCATCGACGTGCTCAAGAAAGGATTGGAGCTCAAATAGTTATGCTCGCAGGACGATGGAAATCATTCTCTTTCCTGGCTACATTGGCTCTTCACCCGTCTGAAGGATGGGTACTATTCATATTATACTATGTTCTTATGCTCATCGATGCGCATTCCATTTCCCATGATGTTTTTCACATTATAACTTTGTCGATTCTGTCTTATATATGAAGCCGAATGTCTGTTTGTATGTAAAGGCTACTGCATGACGAAGGCGCAGCGGTACGAATTCAGCGGCCGCGAACGCAGCGAACGCGTATCTTCACCGTTGCATACGCTCTGCCGCACGCGCTCTGCAACTAATGAAGCCGCTTTTGCGTCAAAAAATATTGCGCCTTCGTCGTGCATCAGCCTATAAGCATGTGCATGTGTACGTATGTTCGAACAGAAAACAACATTTCTGAGCCAATCCGGACCAAACTTGGCACACATACACTTCGGGGCGGGGCGGGTATCGCAGGCCACTTTATGTCATCAATCAATATCGTTTTTATCGATTTTCACCAATTTTTCGAAGTTTGTTCTGCGAGCTTGTGAGTTGGCATAGAGGGGTAAAGGCATGATGACTGCGAATATATTATTACTTTTTAGAATTGTCTATGCTTTTATCGATGTTATCGATTTGTTGCAAAGTTTGGCTTACGGGGGGGGGGGAGGTGGCATAGAAGGATAAACGAGCTTGATGTTGCTTTCGATTTTATTGATTTTTTGCAGAGTTTGAGCAACAGGGCTGGGTTTGAGTGCGGGTAATAAGCATACTGATTACGAATGCAGTGATAGTTTCTAGAATTGGCTATTACTTCTATCGGTTTTATCGATTTGTTTGCAAACTCAAGCTATGGGGCCGGAAAGTGGCACGGGGGGGGGGGGGTAAGTGAGCATGCTGATTACTATCAAAGCGGAATAGGGAATTAACATGTGGAGGTGGACACACAGGGAAAGGTTGTAGAGAGATAAGATGAAACCTTTATCATAGTGTTTTGACAGGCACATTATAAGATGCCTTAGCATCTTTTCGTCTGATCATGTATCATATGCCTTACTACTATATCCTATCGGTAATCAGTTTCGCAGTATACATATCAGGCATTTCTAAAATGACTATAGGACTCCATGTTCCGATCACGCGATGTCTTTCTTGCATTTATATGTTGTAATTCCTTGATCTTTTACATGATCCAAAGTTACGTGTATTACTCGTTATCTGGTCTCCGCTTATGTAAATGCAAGCCATATATTATTTTGTAAGTCGAGTCGATAAACCTTGTGCACACCCGATTTTCTTCGCTTATGAAATTTAAAACGGTAATTTGGTCGTAAACCATACGGGCTAGATGGTGATTTTCTCTGTCCAAAAAATGAAGCCAGTATCAAACAAAAAAAATGCAGAATTCTTTTGAGAGGCAAATGAGCTTTCGGTCCAAGCTAATAGTGTCGTACAAAATCTGAGCTCGAAGTTTACGCAAATGTTAAAAATGCTTGAATCAACGATAAAAAAGTGCAAGTTAGCATAGCTTATCACAAATCAAAACGTTTCTTAGTAAACTCGACCTCAAAAATTACAACTAACCCAACAAAAAAATCTGAGTTGGGACAGTGGTTTCAAGTAAAATCAAAAGGAAAATCTAAAGGAAAGGTACTTTTGTGCGAGTTGTCCTGATCATTTTCCAAAATCAATTGAAGCAATAAACCAAAGTTTTAATCAAAAGCACTTGCTTTCATTTCTCGAATTGTTTCAAATTTTCCCAATGAGAAGATAGCCCGAAACTTCACATATAGACACTAGCCAAAGCGCAGCCAAAAGGAGAACAATAAAACTGAAGTGTATGACCAATAAATGTGACGAATACGGTAACCACTCAAATACAGCAAAATGGTCAGATGCAAAAAACTGCCTATTGTACAATATTTTTTTATGCTTGGTTTGCGTTTTTATAAATCGAGTTAACAGCATTACGCTTTTAACATTACAAAATTCGTCTCGGGACCGATGTCCAAAGAATGAAGTCTCGCTGACTTAGATTTTTTTGAATGCTGCTAGCGTCTCATATGCAGAAAACACTTCACTTAAACAGCATTGCTTGATTTTAGAATTTAAATGAAGTGTCCTACCACTCAGAATTGAGTTTTTTGAAGAAATAAATTTAAGTCTGTACAAATTTGCGCGACAAGATCTTGTCTGAGGCGTTTACTTATTTGCAACATGTTGTTTTCAAAAATTAGTGCTTATTTACAAGGTTTCATATCTCATCTTTGCAGTTAGAAAGACATGCATTCAGTCGAAATACTCATCAAAAAAATGTCATCGTCGCCTGTGTCACATTTGTTATCCTCCTTTATTTACACTGGGCTGTAGAACTGGATCAACTCACCAAGGATCGTTGTAATGCGCTTGTTTTTTTTTTGGCACAGCTAGAGACACACATGTAGGTAGTGTTGACATCATGTCAGAGCAAAAATTTGTGAGATTCTAATGATTTAGCTCAATAACATCATAGCCACACCTATGGTAGTTTGTCGTGTACGAAAAGGTTCCACATCTTTCTAGTGAAAATGATTTATACGATTTTTTTCTAAACCAGTAAACCAAAGAAAGTAATTAGATGATAGGTAAATAGTTTAAATTTGGTCTTTTTGTTGATTTGCATAAATCTAGCTCAACAAGTTAGTCGAAAAAGTCTAAAAAACACAAAAACCTTAGTTTAGTATGAAAGTAAAAAAAATTCCGGCTTACTTTGGTGAAGAGAAAAGGGAAGAGCCCAATGTTCAAATGTCAAATACAGCTCCTCTACAGTATGCCACCATAATAGAGAAACAGTACAGTTTTTATAATGCATATTAGACTTTTTTTTTTCAAATATAAAACACTTGATGCAGTCTGTGATAGTAATGCTACAGTAGCGTAGAATTCTTTCCTAATGTGTGCAATTGCACATTTTTCTTGATAGAATTTCATGGGACTCAATCGCTGTTTTCAGAGGTTTTTCTTTGTTGTTTATACTCGATTGTATTCGAATGTATTCATACCTAAGAGACCTACGTCTTATCAACAATATTCCAGAAACTGTGCAGTTGCACACCTAAGGCCTACTCGGCTATATTACAAACGCTTCAATTGCTTTATTTTCAGTAAAAATAAAAAGTAGCCGGCTTTCTGTTAAATCTTTGGTCCTTTGATCATTGACAACATGCGAAATCCCGTACACCTGATAGCCTCATTGTCATTCCAGACGTAATTATTGACTGAGATTTTACGACTTTATTTTGTCTGCAATCAGAGAGTTAGATCATAGTGTAACTGCACCAAGTGGTTCGCGATTTATCGACTCAAGCCAATTCTTTTACTTCCAGACTTATACCAAAATAATACGATTTAACTAACGTTGCCTCTTCATAGTTTAATCAAAAGTTTCTAAGACTGATAAGGCAAAAATAAGAATACTGTAACATTTTGTTTTCTTACATCTGCAAAAAATATCTGAAATCAATGAACGAATGCTTGGCAACGATTTCGCGAGAGTATCACCCACTTACAAGCCACAAGAGCTCCAATATTTAGAGACTTTTTTACATTCCCTACATTGTCTTTTTATATTTCCTACATTGTTTACAAGGCAGAGACTATTTGCTCAATTCACAAATATGAGATCATGACCAAAGCCCACTCGTCATGCACTTCAAAATTTTGATAGCTGAGTGAAAATGAGCTACTAAAATTTGCGACCTGATGATGTTTTAGCAATAAGCAAGACAAGAAAGAAATATTTTTGTCTACAGCGCGTTTTTTGTGAGGACAATAATTTTTATTGTCAAGCTTATTGCAGGCATGACCCCGCTAAGAAAGTTGTCGAACATTCTGATCCTTTGAACAACTAAACTCAACTTCGATATGAGAAAATTTTTACATCTATATCGACTGGGCTGATATAAATTTCCTCTAGAAAAAAATATCCGCAGGGAATTTTGTACCTCCAAACATCAATTCAACGAGAATGCTTTAGTTTGGTGATCGTAAAACAGATAAGGTTTTATTTCATGTCTCAGTGCAGATTATTTCATTTTCATGGGTAAAAGCTTCTGGCGCAGATGTGTAAAGCATAAAATGATGCCAATCTCAGCACTGTTGACTTTATCGACATTCAAAGAGCCTGAAGTGCCGTCCAAGAAACTTTTCACAAACTTGAGCGAGAACAGTTTCAAAATAACGATTGATTCCATTTGCAAATAAGAATTCAGTATGAAAAATGAGAGTTTCTGTGATGTGATTGACAAGTTGTCAACGGTTGTGAAGAAAGTACATGAGCACTAGCGTAAAATTCTTCACATCGTTGTAATTCAAAGTAATTCGCCTTGAAGGTTTAAACATGCTGTAAAGACAATAATGTCTTACACATATGTAATTTCACATCGATCCATCGCAAAGTAGCCGGAGGAAGAAAGAATGAAGAAAGAATGCGGGTGAGGGAAAATTACATTTTTCCAAGGAGAGAAACTCAACTGCTCCGTTTTACGGAAATGAATCACTGTTCAATGAAAGCACTTTTTAACTTTCAAGTTCGTCCAACTATTTCTTCGAATTCTAAAAGTAATCCAATACTTCTGAAGTTCCAAGAAAAATTCGTTTTCTCACCGACCCACTCTGGAGGCTTCTCTCTATTTATTTGCCATTTTTAGAACTCTTTAGTGCAATCAGGCTTGTCTCATTCTCGAATCTTCTTACTTGAAATGCCATAAGTTCATGCTTCGGTGCTGGGAAAAATAAAAGGCTCCTTCAAAGGAAAAAACTTGAACTATATATTCTACACAGAAAAGATCTTTTGGTGAAATTTACTTGGGTGTGAACAACGTACTGAAGATTGTAATAATTATGAAGATTTTGGATTGTATTCCAGAATTACGTATTAACTGTGTATCAAAAACTTGCAGGTGCACTCAGCTGATTTCACAAATATGATCTTGAGTCTGAGAATAAGGTTCTTGAGATCAGCAAATTTTCGAAGAAATAAGGAACAAACCTGCAGAGCTCTATCACACCGGGAATATCGCTTAAGCCAAGAAAAATTTTTTGCACTATTGAAACAAGAGAATTAAAGAAACAATTTAGGATTAAGAAAAGAATAGTTGCAATAGCTGGTCAGGAAAACTTCACTCACACTTTCTTTGCGAAATGTCAAGGATATAAACAATGCAAATTCTTACCAAAAAACATGCTAAAAATCCGTTCCCATTTGCGAAGAAGGAATGGATCGACATCCGGGTATTTGGCTTCAAGTTCACCAATTGAGGATTTGACCTGGAACATTTAACTTTGAAAACATTCACGATAGATCTAAAGGAGCTCGGCCTAGAAGATGTCAATCATTCCTCCTGCTTACAAGCGTAATTTCTAATGATTACTCTCTTGGCATTCTCTTTGAATTTCATACATCCGAGCGATGATTTGAAAATTCGCGAAAGGTGCTAGCACGAGTAACACTGACAAACAGGAACGTTGAAGAACACCTTACCAGCGTTGGCTTTTGCGAAAACCCAAACAATCTCTTTCAACAACAGAATATTCCTGCTGAGGACTGAAGAATCTGCCCCCCCCCTCCCTTGAAAACTTACCATCACACGTAGCCGGGCAGATCCGGAGGGAATGTGCGCAGGCAATCGGCGAGCGAAGTCCCGCCTCACAAGTTGAATGTTAGCTCTCACTACTGGCTGTGCCTAGAAGCATCGAAAATGTGTTCCGCTTGCACAAAAATCGCTCCGATTATCATGAGAGCCCTTCACTACTCCTCGAAATCTCAGGAGGCTATTTCTTCTTGAATACTGGTAGTTAGAAGAGTTCTTGGGTACTTGCGCAAAACAATTTTCAGCTGTAACTAGAACTTCTTTCCTTTTTGGATGTTCAAAATAGGGTTATGTAGAAAGCTCCTATCAAGTTCATTCCTGTCAAAAAAAAAACTGTGGTGCTATGTATATGTTTTAATATTAATTTTAATATGTAAAAAATCCATTTAAATGGGATGGGATAACTTTTTTGTGTACCACAGGTTGGATCGAAGAAGCCTTTATTCGAGAGGACCATAAAACTGAGCGTAACTATGAATGTCACATCTATATAGAGCTAACTTGACTGCATGAAACGGCATATTATATCATCTAATACAACATTTCTCAACACTTTTAACCCACCATCCAGAATTACGTGATCTTACATTGTTGCAATTTTTAAGCACCAACCATCGGGTGATTCCCCCGTCAGCTTTTACAATTCCAGATCCTCATTCAGCTTTGCATCAATACTAGTGAGCTTTGGCGGTCTTTTCAAAGAATTTGATCATCTGAAAGTTTCATAAAATTTACCACTAGGACACGACGCGAACAGAGCGAAGTCAAGGTTATTCTTGCCTTTTCCTTACCCTGCTGTGTTGAGGCAACACATTCATCCCGTCTATTATTTCACTTGTGAGTTGGCACAACATTCGCAAAATGATTTTCTAACACGTAGATAACTAAATAAACAAGTAAAGCCAACCGCTGCAAAAGAATAAGCCATGAGGCGCTTCTTGATGCGCAATGGTGCCAGCTACCAAATAGACTTGTCATTTCAACAAATAGGTAATAGATCTCCAAGATAAGGCCTCTCCTTCAGCTATTTGCCCCTTCAGGCTTTTCGAGCAAGAAATAGTCTTCGGTTTCGGCGTCCATAAATTCAAAGGTTTTAGGTGGATTCATACTTCAGCCAGCATGTTTCTGGACAGTATTCGTTGACATGGCTAGACCGGTAGTCCAAGCTTGTCATTACATATGACCGAGGCATTGTCAATGGAAAGCCGTTTCTGCTATGTATGGTAAAAAACAAAGCAGCCTAAATTGTTGGCAGAACCTTTTGAACAATTTAACTTCATGATAATGCCATAATATGGCTCAAATCGCCATATCCGTAGTCAACTGTGAGCGTTAAAGAGATGTACAGACCTGAAAACTAGCTTAATTGTGCATACTTTCTTAATTCGGTCAAGGGCTCATATCAGTTGAGTAAATAATGTAATTACATTTCAAGATGCATTAAAGAACTCCAGGTAGTCTCCAGGACTAAATAAAGCTTGAATGATTGCAGCTCACTGTTACAAAGAAAGCAATGAAATTGATCGATCGACAGCGCTTTGATCAAGGATTGAGCTCCCACAGTTACCTGGGATAAGAGCAACTTGAGAAAGTCAGAAGAGCCTTTCAGGAATTCCTTTCGATGGAGATGATGTGCCACAAAACCCAGACGCACCGTAAGTAAAAATCTAGTTGACGGGTCTACGTAAAAGCGAATGCTGGCAAAGTACTTGTGGAGAAAACCTTGATTATGAGACAGTAATGCTAACAAAGAACATTCATTTCAATGTGCGCTCTCTCATTAACATTACTTCGGTTGGTCCCGCAACTCTGATTACAAAGCTACCTTCTGTATTTGCTGAACAACAATAAACGAAATGAAAGGCACTTTGTTTGTGCTTTCATTGCAGTTTGATGTTTCTCTTGAGACAACAAGTGTTCTCAGCACATGCGGAGCTGCTTCAATACTTCACCCTTAAATGTCTTTAAAGTATCCCTGGGGTCTGAGGAAGACGCGAGAAAGCATGACCCGTTTTTCGAAGTATTCGGATGAAATAGGTGCTATAGCCCAGAAAATTTCATGGATTCTACAAGGACTGTCTCCGCGCCACGTATCAAGATAGGAATCAATATGTTAGGCTCAGTTTGACATTTTTTTTCTCAAGATCTTTTGGTGATTTATGAGAGCATCTAAAACGACTTAATAGCTGTTCACCGTGTTTTTATGAAAGCAAAACAATCCAAAACGTTCATTGGAACATCTTGTCGCTTTCAATAATGATTAAAAATAGTCCTAGTCATTAAGTTGTCTATATCATGTAACTTCTGCCAGGAAAATGTACATAAATGATGGCTTGAAGTAAGTGGCTTCTGCTTGTTTCAGCGCTTAGATGATGGAGCAATAGCGCACTTTCCTGATTTGGGTTTCATGTGATCAGAGAACACAGAGGATATTCTTATAATTAATGTTCAATTTCGAAACTGCTGTTTGAAGCTGAGACCACTATTGATCAACAAACTAAACTTGCATAGGTACAGTGCTGGACATAATTATAGGGACACTCTAGAAATCGTCGTGATTTTCGTTCTTGTCAGTGAATCTGTGTGAAACTTTGCTGTATGGTGCGCATGTAAGCCTACCATAACTCCTCAGAACGGCTTCCAATCCCGTTGATTTCGAACGGAGAAAAATGGAAAAATTCGAAAAAGCCTGTTTTGCAAGCTGGACATAATTATAAAGACACCTGGCCTTTTTAAACATTATCGCATTCCTTAACTCCCAAACTTTTTTTTAGAGTTACATTTCAGAATATGAAAGTTTTGCAGCACCTAGGACCTGTCATGCTACTCAAGGAAAGATGATCCTTGCATTTTTCGATTCCAAAGGCATCAGAAGTCAAACTGCGTCAACAAACAGCTGATTTGAGGAGTTTTCAAGCCCGCGTTCATTTCAAATGACAGTCCTGGAATACACTTAGCCTTTTTGATAGATAAGGTGAAGAGCGCTTTCGTAAACTCCGCGTATTCGCTGATTTTGACGGACAGACTCCAACCTCAACATAGGGTTGTCGCGCTTTTAAACCACAAAACTCGATTTTCAAGTTACAGAAAACACTGCAATGTAGCCGCACAATGCACGTACAACAATAAACTTGTGTGCCTAGTCAGGAAAAAATTTCGGGGTTGCACATTCTGGTTCAGCCGCAGTTGTCATCCGTTGAGAGTTGAGTGGAGCACCCTGCACAATCATATCCAACTCAAATCAAGAAATCGAACAAGAGAGCGCTTGAATCTTCAAAATCTTAACTAATCTCACCTACCGCGTAAAATGCGACATGAAACAGAGAAGGATATAGTGAGATTTGTGATTGTGTTGAATATACTGCTCGCAGAGAAATTTCGTGGAAAGTATTTCAAATCTAAATGCCAACTGCAGCACTAGAAAAAATCTGAAAATTGTTGCAAAAGCTGCGTTCCATGTAGACAATATAATAAATCGAGTCCATCATTTCACGAAAATTGGAAAGTGAGTTTTGTGGTTCAAAAGCGCGACAATCCTATGTTGAGGTTGGAGTCTGTCCGTCAAAATCAGCGATTACGCGGAGTTTACGAAAGCGCTCTTCACCTTATCTATCAAAAAGGCTAAGTATATTCCAGGACTGTCATTTGAAATGAACGCGGGCTTGAAAACTCCTCAAACCAGCTGTTTGTTGACGCAGTTTGACTTCTGATGCCTTTAGAATCGAAAAATGCAAGGATCATCTTTCCTTGAGTAGCATGACAGGTCCTAGGTGCTGCAAAACTTTCACATTTTGAAATGTAACTCTACAAAAAAGTTTGGGAGTCAAGGAATGCGATAATGTTTAAAAAGGCCAGGTGTCTTTATAATTATGTCCAGCTTGCAAAACAGGCTTTTTCGAATTTTTCCACTTTTCTCCGTTCGAAATCAACGGGATTGGAAGCCGTTTTGAGGAGTCATGCTAGGCTTACATGCGCACCATACAGCAAAGTTTCAGACAGATTCACTGACAAGAACGAAAATTACGACGATTTCTAGAGTGTCCCTATATATGTCCAGCACTGTCTGTAGGTAGGCTAAGCAAACTGTTGGAAAAACCCTTTGAACATGTAACATTTGATTCAATTGGCTTGGCATCGGCAAAGGCGGGGCTTCGTGACCTAATTAAGGCTAGGTAATGATTAGAGACCACTCGCGCGAGAGAGAGCAAGTGCGTCGCGGGCGCGAGCGGCCTCAATTAGATCACAAAACCCCGTCCTAATGGTGCCAAGTCGGTCGAATCAAAGGTTAGATGAGATGTAAATTTTATTTGGCACTTGGCAGGAGCTCAGACAATCGCTGGGAGCAGGCGGGCACCGGAAAAATAGATTGCTGATTTGTCGCACCCCGCTCGCGGATTTTTTGGAAAGCAATCAGGACTTTTCGGAAGACCGCTTGCTGAGTCAGCGGATTTTTGAGAGACCGCTTGTTGAATTTTTTTTCGCTCTTATCTTTTGCAGATATATTGCTGAATCTCTGAGGAATCGAGAACTCAGCAAGCGGTCTTCCGAAAAGTCCTGATTGCTTTCCAAAAAATCCGCGAGCGGGGTGCGAGAGATCAACAATCTATTTTTCCGGTGCCCGCCTGCCCCCGGCGATTGTCTGAGAGGTTGGCATTATTTTTTTGGTACAAGAAAGAAACAATATCCTTTTTTGAAAGAACGAGCTTTAACAGAAAGTACACATGTAGCAAATATATCAACCTTACATTTCTTAGTTGATAGCAATTTTTCAATTGAATTTTAACAAGGGAAGGATATTTGGTCGAAGAGAAGTTTTCATGTGAATTGTAAGCTTTCTTTTAAAGCATAGAACGCTGAATCCGAATCTGCTTTTGTTATTTGCAAAGCACTCTTGAGAGGGGAGTTATAGGAATTTTTCGGGAAAAATTCAAAGGTTTTGCTGAGGTGAAGCAAATGTTGAGGTCTTTCCTGCGCTTGAAAAATAATGACTAGCATAAGTTGAGATTGAAGGTATTTATTGCATAAAGCAACCTGGCCGTAATTATGACGCCAT